TAATACAATAAGTATTCAAAATCACATTCGCAATTACTATTTATATTTAGTAATTTTATAACTCCGTTGTTGGGCAGAGCTTTATTGACAAAACGAATTCTTTTACAAAGATGCTCATTTAGAAAACTGTATCCGCTCTTTATGACACACATTAATTAGAAATTGGGTTAGAAAGACGATCTTATAATTTTAAATGTATTCATTTAGACTTGTAATAATTCTAGGCCACTAGAATTCTGGTTAGGTGAAGCTCTTATCTTTTGTTAATGTACAGCTTTCCAAAAGGACATTAGCATGCGTACGTTAAAAATCTAGTTCTGACTTAAAATATATCAGTTGGTTATTATTCGATCAATGACCTTTGCATTTTTGAATATATTTATGTCACACAATTTAATCGGTCAAAAAAATATTGAGCTTATTGATAAATTACGCGCTATATATAACATACATGAACAGAATTAATTAGAGAAGACAAAACATTATAATGACGGACAACAATTCAGTAGGTATTTCAAAAATATTTTCTGTTCTTTTTTTACTGCTTAGATGGGTGGACGAGCTCACAGCGGACACACTCTGTGTTAAGTGGTTACTGGAGACAATAGACATCTACGACGTAAGTGCACCACCCACCTTGAGATATATTAAGTTCTAAGGTCTCAAGTATAATTACAACGGCTTGCCCACTCTTCAAACCCGCAAAATTATAATTTGCGTAATTACTAGTGGTAGGACCTCTTGTGGGTCCGCGCGGGTAGGTATCACCACTCTGCCTATTTCTGCCGTGAAGCAGTAATGCGTTTCGGTTTGAAGGGTGGGGCAGCCGTTGTCCCATCTAAACAATAAAAAAATAGAAAAGGGAGAGGGGGAAGAGGTCGACCGAAGAAGACATGGAGTGTGTGAATGACGATATGAGAGGGAGAGGAGTGAATGTTGAGATGACGGCTGATAGAAGAGAATGGAAGGGAAAAATTAGCTGTGCCGGCACCGCCAAATGGGATAAGGTGAAGAAAGAGAAGATTGCATTTTCTATAAATTATAAAAAAATCTATTTACTGCAGTAAATTTACTACTGCAATTAGCAATTTACTACTACAATTTACTGCAGTAAAAAAGTTCCACTGTCGCCTGATACTTTTTTCTTAGTTTCTTCAATAAACTGAAACTATTTGTTCGAATTCGCGGCTTAAGGTTTAAAAGGAATAGGGCTCGTTGTCCTATTTGTGATTTACGTATTTAAAATCTAAAAAACATAATTGAATATACAATTGCGAGTAAAACACCGAACACAATTTGAATGCATCAAAATTTAAACACCTTTCTATTGTTTCATTATTAAAATGAAGCCTGGAAATAGCATTTATCGTTGTAACATCACAATAACATAGCGATACGAAAAATTAATCTTTTATTTCAGTAACATTATAGTTCGATCGATGTATAACAATTCCGTTTTAATTGCGTATTCGCTGCAATTACTAATAGCATTAATTTAAGTGCACGAATCAAGCTTCAGTGCCTCCTGAAATACGAGCGATCGCGAGTCGCGCAAACAGTAACAAATTTCAAATCTGTGAAAACATTCTTTATCGCTATTATAATAAATAACAATTTTCATTAACATTTAAAAAAATCATTAACTTATTCCTGAAAGTAGTATAGTGCGGAATATTTTTCAGTGTTAATTTAATTAATTTACTTCCTATTTTTTAGTATTTTATTTGGATTATCATTGAATAGAAGCAGCTAAATCAATTGGTTTCAGGAACAAAAATAATCTAATCACCTCTTTGATCGAGCGGTAAAAATGAATGTGTTCTCTCTTTTTATAACAATACTTAGTTATATTGATTCGCAAATAGATTCAGTTTTGTTGCCTCAAGACTTTTCTTTTCACTTTCACGTTAAGGGATACAAAAATATATCTTCAATATAAAAGTCAAGTATTTATTTAATTGGTTTTTAAGTCCTGCCTGTTTCACAACTATAGATTTGGTTAAATAGAATTACTATTTATTCTTTATTTACGGATTAAAATTAATAACCGATACAATACACATAAAATTTAATCTTGTTGTTCACGTTAAATATTTACAACTTTAGTTGACTCATAAAATAGATTAAGCACTCTAGCAGAACACTAACGCTTAAAAATCAATGAATATTTAGATTTCTATTTGGATTTATCATTCCTTTTTTTTTGCAATGAAAACAAATTAAAAGTTAACGATAATTTGAATCAGTAATCATTCATCTCGAGATACCGGTCCTGGTCGTGTTGAATGTGAGCTACTTTAAATAATGTTTTATTTGAACTGATATTATAATTAGAATATATTACTTTGCATTAATTTCGAACTAACATCACATAAAGAGACGAAACAGCTTCTAAATTTGGGCTGTACGTTTTATTTTTGATTAATAAGGAGCAAAATCTTGTTTCATTTTTATTATATGTACATACCGTTAAATTTATCTATAAGTGCTCATGATTAACCGGTGTTTTGACATTGTTAATAGCTATGTGTTTTAAGTAATTTCTCCATCTTCATGTCATCGAAGGCAGACAATGCTACTCGTCTGATTTGTTTGTAAGTGATTTAAATGATAAAATTTGATAGTAAATGGTTACGTTTACTAATGATACGTTAAGATACGAAATTCATTCGGGTGTTTGTCTGTGCGCCTGTACAACAAAATCCCACAAGATGTTCAGAACCTACATATACATAGGTTTAAGAAAACTATTAAAGAACATCTGTGCAATAAAGCTTACTATAAAGTCAATGATTATCTAGAAGATTGCACAAAGTGGGAATGAGTTGCTCGCTCCGGGCATTTCAATGTGTAATAATTGTTATGTTATAATTACTTATTGTAAAAATGAATATTAAAAAAAATCTAATATAAAAAAAAAATCTAATATTAAAAAAAAAAAAAAAAAAAAAAAGACATGCCCGCTGAGTTTCTTGCCAATTCTTCTCAGGACGGAGGCTAATTCTTGTGAATTGGCGGTAGTTCTTTTGACGTTCAACAAGTATGTACTTTCATTTATGTTGAATAAAACTTTTTTGATTTGATTTGATTTGATTTGATTTGATTTTATTTGATTTGATTTGAATGGCCAAACTTGCCACTTACCGGTAAAGATTCCTTTATAGTCTTTATTAAAAAAAAACATTAATATGTATCTATGTACTGTCACCAGCAGGGATACATTTTTGAGAAATTTCTCGGTATAAATAGGAAAGAGGACCTCTAGATCTAGAGCAGGGATTCCCAAAGAGGTAGGTATCTCGTGCACACATGATAACTTAACCAATACCAATTTTTTTTAATTGGTAAGTATTTTGTATCAATAGCTAAAAAAAAAAAAAAATTTTTAAAGCACTTTGACTCTAGTGGTTCGAGTCTTTAAGGTATCAGTTGTTTTTAGAAAAAGGGTCTCCTGCTAAAAGATAGTTTGGAAACCGCTGATCTAGAGGCTCCAAACGTTTCGTGAGATCAAGACTCGACAACTTTCGTATGGATTAAAAAGGAAGCGGCTATTATTTAGGAACCCGACCCAGAGATGGCAGCAATTCTTCACCCGAAGCCAAACCTATGCTTTATAGAGCATAAGTATTTGATGAAGCGTGAAGTGTCGCATCGACCTATGTACTTAAATTAGTAGGTGAAGGTTACGTTTAAGCCACTCTTCTCCCAGCGTAAGAAAATAATAAAAAATAGTAATAAGACTATTTATGTATGTATTATGTTTTAATCGTCAAAATCTTACAGCAACTACCTGCACTAGAGTGATCGTGATGAGGTATATAATAAAAATATTTATTTTGATTTGATTAATTCATTAAGTATCAGTCAAATATCATATCATACAGTCAAATGAAAGATGAAATATAATAAAAAATTCTCGACAAATATTATAAGGTCTTCTTGGGCAAAACTTAGATTCTCTTGCACTACGAGAAATAAGGGTCTATATAGATTCCAATAAAGCAAATTTGATGGAACATCCTTTCGACAGATTATTGTAAATTTTCTAATCGTTTAAAAACAATCATTCTGCAAAAAGGACTAACTAATAGGTCGGTGCAAGAGGCACCGATGTATTAGTTAGCAGACTCCAAATAAGTACAGTTAGTATAGTCAACATACCCATTTGTTGTAACAAAGCGATACGTCATGTGGATTAGCATAATGACCCCACTATCGGCCCACATAACCCCGTTTTTACCCAACACACTATTAACATTGATCTTTATTTTCCTGTTGAGAACATGTCAATACTCATCTCCTGTAAAATATTCTATTTTAAATGTGCATGCAACATTTGTATCATTTTAAATACTAGTTGTATTATATTTGTATTAAAAAATAATACTACTATCGTATTTAGTTATTGACGATTGAATCTTCGATACGATTTACATAAATACGGAGTGTTGTTCTGACGTCATTATTACGTAATCATAGTAAGTAATGTTTCGAAATTGTTAGTCTCCTAATATCGCCCGTGTGAAACCCGCTCTTTACATCACTCGTTTGCTTTATCTAGTATCAATCGTCGATTCCATTTCCGTAAATAATCTTATTGACACGATATTGCCTTTAGTGTCTTTCTTTTTTGTTGGATATTCTTTCTCATTTTATTAAAAATGTCTATCAAGATTTATTATGAGTACGTCTTTTTTATCNCGAAATTGTTAGTCTCCTAATATCGCCCGTGTGAAACCCGCTCTTTACATCACTCGTTTGCTTTATCTAGTATCAATCGTCGATTCCATTTCCGTAAATAATCTTATTGACACGATATTGCCTTTAGTGTCTTTCTTTTTTGTTGGATATTCTTTCTCATTTTATTAAAAATGTCTATCAAGATTTATTATGAGTACGTCTTTTTTATCTTTTTTGTTGGATTACTTCGAAATGTCGTTATTCTGTTCGAAACGATTCTGAATTGTTAACGTTTACGATATAATTTATTTTGTTTACAGATAACAGCTGTTGACGTCTGCAGTAGTAGCCAGCCTGCCGGCACTTTTTATTTTCGCCCCCGTTCCCTACATCCCCTTTCAAGATTGCTGCCACCATGGGTCGGAAGAAAATACAAATATCCCGGATTACGGACGAACGGAATCGGCAGGTTAGTTTAGAAACACAAAGTACTTACTGTCTAATAATTTTAAAGGCTAATAAAATAATGTTTGTACGAAGATTATAAGTACTCAGTTACGAACTTCTAATATTTATTAGAGTTTCTAATACATTTTAAAGCTATGGACTTTTCCGTGAATTGTGAAGTTCTTAAAGCTCGAAAAAATATATCTGACATAGCGTTGTGGTATTATGAAATTTCTTTATGTATATCCTTGATACTACATAATAAACGTTAAAATTGTATATTTTCCTTTTTAAATTCTTGAATGATCTAAAATTGTATGAAAACAAACGCATTACGTCTCAACACTACATATTTTATGAGAATGAAACGATCCTAAAAGTCTGATTAAACAGATGTGGTATATCAACGCTCCCACTGCAAAATATTATCGCAAAAGTACAACGACCGCACTCACTTGTAATTTATTAATTACACGATTACACAGCTCGGCCCTTGTCCAGTAAACTTAGGACTCTACAAATACCAATCTGGGAATTTCTCGGAAGCTAATATTTGTATTGTAAAGGTCGTAACGGGTCTCTGTAAACTGGCAATTTAACTGAAAGGCAGATTAATGACAGTTGCGAAGGTCAATTTAGTTTTTGAGCTTTGCCTGATGTAACTTTAGGTTTGCCGGAAGTTTCTTTGTTACTTCTTCTACAAGTATTTCGTTGAAAAATGATGGTATGTTTAACAAAATACAGACAAATATTCCATGATTTTTTTAATAAAAAGGTACAATATAAGAAAAAGAAAAAATTTTTTTTACAAATACTTTTTATTTGTAATAAATAAAAAACACGATAAATACCTATATGAAACTCAAGCAGTACGGAACTAATAATAATTAATTGGTTCTTGAGTTCCCATATATAAAATCAATGAAAGGATTCAATGTAATCCAAAAGTCACGCATAAGGATGTTCAATTCAGTGCTCCAAAAGTTTGTTTGTGAAGTTCAGAGGAAGCCAGTAAAAGCCATTAATCCTTAGGCTGACTCCTTCTGTACAACTCTAATAGTTATCCAAACAGCTGTATAGGACGACTTTAGTTTTAAACTTTTGCTCCGGCTAAACTGAAACTAGAAAGCTTGTTGTTAGATAATTTCGCTTGAACTCAATAGAACTGGCCCGTGGTTAATATTAGATGAAAGTTATAATTGACTCATTTGAATGCCACTTAACTAAAAATAACATACTTTATAGTTTATATTATTATATTAATAGTTTATAAATTAACTTAGTTCAATTCGAAATCTTTTTTTTTTTGTAATAGAAAACAAACGTGGCTAAAAGAAGAAAGCAAACGTGATCGAGTTGAAACGTCAGCGCAAAAGTGGCCTAAGTTTACCATAGTTAGTATGGAGATAATGAGGTTCGAATTTATCTTACAATAAATACTTCGTAGGCAAAAAAATACGCGCTAAAATGATTTCTAGAAAGGCATCTATTATCTATCGATAAAACTAGGGATCGGCCGATTTTGCGTCAAAATTTATTATAAACTAGCTGACCCGGCAGACTTCGTAGTGCCTCAATCAATAAATAAATGACCGAAACTTTAATTAATTCCGAGTATTTTCATATTTATCTACCTTTTAAACCTTCTCTGGACTTCCACAAATAATTCAAGACCAAAATTAGCGAGATCGGTCCAGCCGTTCTCGAGTTTTAGCGAGACTAACGAACAGCAATTCATTTTTATATATATAGATTATAAAAATTCCTCGCTTCACGTCTCTTCACGGATTATTACCACCAACTCCGGGGCATAAAGGTGCTTATGTTATAGTATGATCCAGAACCCTGGATAAAGCAATCGAATTGTTTCTTTATAACCTATCCGGGCTAGGAATCCCTTGAAAACACGGCTTTCACTAGTCATTACAATTACATGATTTTTTTATCAAGAATGAATGAATGAAGAATATGAAATTTAACACAAAATATTCACACTTCTGTAATTAACACTGATCGTTCGATTCAATTTAAAGGTTCGCCAAATGCTCGTAGAGAAATTAGTAGAAATATGTTTCTTAAATTGATGCGAAAATTTGATTAATTGTCTGGTTGTTATGCGTATTTAAAAATTATATTTATTTGTATACTAAATTATCACTAGTTTCATGTATTGGTATACTGATAAGGGATTCTATATTCAGATAAAATATAAATTATGTAAAAGGATTATCCTTTGAAACTGCTGAAATTAAATTATATACTAATAATTACAATCGTAAAGCATGATCATAGGAAAATACTCAATTTTATGAACAAGGAAAATTGCCTTAAATTAAAACAATACCAATAAACAAATATCCAATAAATTTGCAATATGCATTCATTATGACGCATGACGAGTTCTAGTTATTAGTTAGATCCAAACTATGACCCAATATTTGATCCAAACTAAGCCAAGTAAATGTCGTATATAATAATTACTGTCTATTATATACTGATAACGATGCTTCAACAAACTAAATAGCACTAAATCTAGACAATATTAATAAATGATGATCATAGTCCAACTGTACTAATCTTCCAAGCGCGACTGCATAAAAAAATATGTTATAAAATTGGCCTCTTATATACTTATTTCCACTTTAATAAGTAACAAAGCTGATTAACGTTAAAACTAGAATACTGATGCCCCCTTTGAGACATGAAGTAGAATTTGAATAACGGCTTTGCCATCAGACCGGAACGCATGACTACTTCATGGCAGAAATAGGCAAGACACTGGAACCGACGCGCCTATAAACCCCAACTATAATTTAAATGAAAAACATATTCATATAACTGAGCTCGGCATGTCGTAGCAGTCAGTTTGTGGTCATTTCATATTTAGCAGACCAAAAACAACTATCAAATAAATAGCCTAGCATTCTTTAATTTGCTTTAATTATATTCAATGCAAAAATACAATCGCATTTTATCATTACTATTGGGTTAACCATCAGAACCTATCTTTATATTCGAAAAGGCTAATTCTTCTTCTTCTTCGTCGCTTTCTTCATTACTGAAGGTCATGTTCCTGAAACTTGACCGTAGCCTGTCTCGTGAGCTATTTGCATCTCGTCCGGTCCTCAGCTTCTCGAATGGTGGTTGCGACTGGCAACCCAGTTAGAGCGGTTATTTGATCACACCAACGGCTAGGTAATCGGCCGCGGGGTCTCTTTCCTTCTACTTTGCCTTAAGGCTTATAATACACCCTGTATTTATTTATTGATTTTATTCCAGGTTACTTTCAACAAACGTAAATTCGGCGTAATGAAGAAGGCGTATGAGTTGAGCGTGCTATGCGACTGTGAGATTGCACTCATCATATTCAGCTCCAACAACAAACTGTACCAATATGCAAGCACGGACATGGACAAGGTCAGTATTATTGATCACACCTTTTTTTTTATTGCTTAGATAAGTGGACGAGCTCACAGCCCACCTGGTGTTAAGTGGTTACTGAAGCCCATAGACATCTACAACGTAAATGCGCCACCGACCTCGAGATATAAGTTCTAAGGTCTCAAGTATAGTTACAACGGCTGCCCCACTCTTCAAACCGAAACGCATTACTGCTTTACGGCAGACATAAGCAGGGTGGTAGTACCTACCCGTACGGACTCACGAGAGGTCCTTCCACCAGTATAGACCTTAATAAGTTTTCTCTTATTTCTGAGNATAGACATCTACAACGTAAATGCGCCACCGACCTCGAGATATAAGTTCTAAGGTCTCAAGTATAGTTACAACGGCTGCCCCACTCTTCAAACCGAAACGCATTACTGCTTTACGGCAGACATAAGCAGGGTGGTAGTACCTACCCGTACGGACTCACGAGAGGTCCTTCCACCAGTATAGACCTTAATAAGTTTTCTCTTATTTCTGAGCTCACACCTCAACACCACAAACCACATCAACACCTCTTAATTTCCTATAATTAGGATTATGGAAATATATTTCATTACTGACAATCCCATGACAGCTACGACGAAAGTACAGTAATGAATTAAACAAGAGACTAAACTATTTTTTTCCAATTATTTCTAATTATGTTTACGATGCGCGAGAATTTCAGAAAACATCATGAGAACTTAATATTAAATTCCTTGCGTATTCTGAAAAATCAATTGTAATAAAAGTTCATATTTTAAGATAAATACGAAGTTTGCTGTTTTAAATAGTATTAAAGAGTATTCATTGAACGTTTGGGCAGAAGTTTTAACTATCGCAACAACAGTAGGAGGTGTCGATTTGCATATTTTTTCCATATTATCATTCACCAGCACCATACTAAGATTGTAACTTGTATACTTTTTGAGGGTCACTCTTTTTGTCCACTCGATCAGTTTTCATTAAATTAAATTATTTTTCATTTATGAGACGTGATTTAATTTTTTATAGTCAACACAAAATACACAATTTAATTTCTATACAACATCCGTCAAATATTATAGGTTTATAGCTTTTGTAGATACGCGGACGTTGGATTTAATAATGGCGGTAAAAATATCTGATATCGCATTTATTGGACACCAACAATCTCGAGCAACTCTTTGTAGGATGCCTTAAACAACGATTCCTTCTGGAGAATCAAATAAAAATGAATATTCTCTAAGCATTAGTTTAGCAGCTTAACTGTATTTATCACGTATTTCGATACAGCGTTTCCTACAATTGATTCACTGTACGTAGCAAAATAATTCGTGTGTTGCATTGCAAATGGTTTCCAGTGCTTCAACGCATTTAGAAACAATATAGGCATACGTAATTATAACGATTCTTGTGCACATTACGTACAAAGTTTTATCTGTATTCACGGAGTACATTTCCTTTTGTAGCAACACTTTTTTCATTATCATTAATTTGCTTCGGTTCCGTTGGCATCGAGCGTTGATAAAAAAATTAAACAAAAACTATACGAAATACGAGTTCGTTGTTGTCTTAAAATTAACAACGATAGTAAAAAAAATTCAGCCACTGTTTAGTGTTTCTAAATTCACCAACTCGCCATAAAATTATAAACGTATGCATATTATAAAAAAAAAAAAAAAAACAAAAAACGTTAAAATCACAAATTACTAATGAAATCACGAACCGAAACTGACACTGTAATGGGCGCAGTAGTAATAATTTAATTATGGCTCTATTTAAAGACAAAATTAACCAAATTTATTTTAAAAAGTTTTTTATTAAATTTCTAGATTTAAGAGATAAATAAGTCTAAAAATACTAGAGATAAGACAAAAATTAATGATAACATAAATCGGATCGAGCTTCGAAACATATTAATAAGTATAATGTGGACAAAAAATAAAATCAATCAATTACGAATCACCAACACAGTTCACTATTATTGTTATATGATACTTTTAAATTTACTTTAAACAAATGCAAAACTTTTTCAAGTCGCGATAATAACGCCTCAATGTATAATAATAAATCATAATTACATTGTTACAATTTTGTTATCGTTTACACTTAAATTACCAGGTAATAATTAGTCCAAAAATTATAAAAATAAAACCATACTACATTTGCGCTATAGTATTTTTGAGGTTTACATGAATTCGACGGAATGCATGTTTAAGGTTCAATAACTCAAATTTTATTGTTATAATTAAAATATGGACTGACTTTTCAATAACACAAAGTTCATCAATCACGTTAATTTTAAAGTAAGACCCCTTGAATGCTGCTACTCACAATAAGATTTTAGATCAATTTTGATTCAAAGATTGTTCAACCTTCAAACCAACGCGTCAACCTAAAATTCAACAAATCTACAAAAACAAAAAATCTACACCTAGTATTTTTCACCTAATACTTCAATTCTATCGCCAATTTATATACTGCTATTACTGTAAGCTCCGATGAACAACAGTATGCTTAGTACGAGTTTTTTAACGTTCTCGATAACGTAAAAGTTAACTCAAATTTGTATGCAGTTGGAACAGCGCCCCTAGCGGCAAACGTAGGCAAACGTACCAACTCCATACAAATTGGAGTTAACTTTTACGCTATCGAGAACGTTAAATAACTCGCGTTAAGCTCACAGATGAACTCTAAACTGCAATCCAAAACGTTTGTATTCCTTACCTAAAATTAATCACTCTTATGTCGTCTTTCTCAGGTTCTGCTGAAATACACGGAATACAACGAACCGCACGAGTCTCTTACGAACCGCAACATCATCGAGGTACATTAAGTACGGCGTCATCTGTGTGCAGTGATCGCAATGCAATGTCCATGCAAAACTTGACTTATGTCATTAACAGCGTGCTTATGTACTTACACAAACCTAATGCATACGTTGTTGTTGTTCCTACTAAAACTCTCAATATAGATATTTGAAGTAATGCCGCCCTAATGGATAAAACGCTGCACTCAATTAGAGTAATCCGACTATACAGAGATTCGAATCAATTAGAAATAAATGTGTTCTTAAAACTGAATCCCGAAGAATTTCCATTATAAATGGAAGTTTGTAAATTTGCGTTAATGCTGGTAGTAGGTGTCATTGTGAGGCCCCACTGTTAAAAGTCTCCTGCCAATCTGTGAGAACCTGATGTTTTAAGATGGGCGAAGACATTGATATTGTGATCAAGTTGTATTTCAAATCTGCTGCAATAATAAAAACCTGAAGAGATCCATCGATGTATTCCGAAATACGAATGTAATAGAAGATAGACGCTATAGATATCAGATTCCAAAAGTAGTAAAGAAGCATGTTCATTTCCTGTTTAAAAATGAAGTACAAAACACCAGACACCCAGTTTTATACAGTTTATGGCTGGACACCCCAAATATTTATGTTAGCTTCTCCTTGTACGAGCATGGGTTTTGTAAATATTTTTGTGTTTATTTGAATTAACCGTGCCTACCTGAGTCCGACTATTGATGAAGGCAAAGTCAGCGTTGCATCATTGCATTCGACACAACACACAAATGTACGCTAAATAAATTCACTTACCTACCTATATTATTATTATACTTTTGTAGATTTTGTCGAAAGCACTTTTTTTGTTTTTTTTTTGTTTTTTTTATTTTTATTTACCCTTCGCTACATACTGAATTACAGACTAAACAAAATTTGAGCCTTACTTCGAATCAAGAAAAAAAGATTCAAAGAATCTAATCTTTCTTAGAATATTTTTTTTCTTGATATCTCGGCACCTAGATTATATAAAGCTTTTGAATTAACTTTTTTATCAAGTCTTATACAAAAATATTTCTTTATATACTAAGTATACCTTGACGCTAATTTCGACTAGACTAGAATTTCGAATCATCAATATTGCCTCGAATGTCAAAAAAAGAAAAGAAAGAGGCATTCTTTTCTAAATCCATATTTTGATAATTTAACGGTGTGTAATGAGGGTGTAATTAATTGTTTAATGCATGCGATATTAATCCAACATAGGAATTACCATTTTGGGTTGCCAAGCCACCTGAGCTGTTTCCGCTGACACTTACAGGCACTCACAAAGAAAGAGCACAAGAACGGAGTGATGTCGCCTGACAGCCCGGAAGCCGAACCCGAATACAACCTGACCCCCCGCACCGAAGCCAAGTACTCGAAGATCGACGAGGAATTCCAAATGATGATGCAAAGGAACCAGTTGAACGGGAGCCGCGTCGGCGTTGGCGTGACGGGAAGCAACTATAACCTACCGGTCAGCGTGCCTGTCGGGAACTACGATCAATCCTTACTCCAAGCTAGTCCACAAATGCATACCTCTATCAGTCCACGGCCATCGTCTTCGGAAACCGATTCAGGTGAATTACCTCATTGATTTTATTGGATCTACTGGGACGTATTGTTAATCTTCCGCCAGCCTTTGCTTGGCTTGGTTCTGTCTCTGGCATTGCTGACGTCCATGAGCAACACTAGCAACAGTAATCACTCACCACGGGGTTCAGGCTCGTCTGCCTTTTTTTTATTGCTTTGATGGGTGGACGAGCTCACGGCCCACCTGATCTTAAGTGGTCACCGGAGTCCATAGACATCTACAATGTAAATGTCGCCACCCACCTTGAGACATGGGTTGTAAGGTCTCCCTTTTAACAGTACAACGGCTGCTCCGCCCTTTTAACCGAAACGCATTACTACTTCACGGCAGAAACAGACATATAAAAGTAAATAAAAAAGAGCTAAATATCGAACGTTATTTTTGCGCATTTCTGCGCAAGAAATTCCGTGTACGGGAATATCACCTTTCACACGTTTTATTGTTATGAATTACAGTATACCCAAGCGGCGGAATGCTCGAAATGTCAAACGGATACCCAGGCTCCGCATCACCACTGGGGGCGGGATGTACCCCGTCGCCGTCCCCCGGCCCCGCTCCCTCTCCCCACCGACACCCGCACAAGCCCCATGCCCACGCTCCGCCACCGCACCACTCGCCCCGACACAACAACCTGCGCGTCGTTATACCTAGTTCAATGCCACCACCGCAAGATGACATATCATATGCAGAGGTAAAACATCAATATATCTACTTATATAGATATTAATAAAAACGAAAGTCTGTTTGTCTTATTTTGAAACTTACTACGGTTGTTGGATGAATTCTAACATCTAAGTACGATGGCGTGCGATTAGTTTCAAGAAATGTTTGATTTTCATACAATTAGTAATAGTCACAACGGAGTGTGACTGATTTCACTAATACTTCATGATTTATAATCGACAAATAGTTAGATTAGTGCTACTACTCTATTATTAAAATGTAGTGCGCAAGTACCCATTTTACTAACAATGCATATGAAAAGTATTCTGGGACGAATTCCGATAATCCGTTCTGCCAATTTCTGCCGCGATTGCTTCCCAAAATATATATATAATAGCCGTCTAGTACAATCAAAATTTGTAATATAATTGTAATGTTTGGGACCTTCCGTAACCACTTAGTACGAAGCGAATCTTCTACTCAATGCTCTTCATTAAAAAAAACAAATTTAAAAAACACATCCAGCGGTTCTAAAACTGTTTTCAAATGCCAGTTTATTTCCTTCTCCAACAATACTGTATTGTATTTCAGACACCACTAAGCTATTCACTCACCAACTTCGGACCACAGGACTTCAGTATGACCTCGGACATGGGAATCGGACTGACGTGGGGCGCTCACCAACTGCAGACGTTACAACACAACAGGTACATGTCTGTGCCCAATTTTGATTTTTGTATTTTTATTACTTATAGTCTCGCCTAACATCATCATCCATATTTTGACGTGACAACGTCTTATAATTCGATGGAGCCGGCTGTACGCCCGAAAAACATGACTCGTGCGGCGTTACCTCGCTCTGAGGCGTTCCACGATCACGTGGCTAAACTGGCATTAAATTTCTCCAATTGACGACAATTTGACGACAACAAAGACGCGATCATGGAACGCCGTAGTCAATTCGAGTCTAATTTGAATATTGAAAACGTCAATTCACGATCAATTCAATAGTGATTTCCATTTACCTTCTTCTCTATATCCATAATCCATACAAAATATCTATCAAAAAAATAAAATTAAAATATTCTTTTGAAAAATGAAACCATTCCATCGGTATTTTCTTATGACGTTGTCACGTTCAACTGTCGTCAGTAAACCGACTTTACAGATAACCGATTTTTTTAAATCAGCTTATTTCCTGTTACAATAATCTGTTGCCTGTCCGATACCTCTATAAGATACAATGTAACATACTTGTTCATTTTCAAGTATCATAATCCTCATATAATTTTGTTTGTATGCAGTTTTCTATTATAACCGTACCTAATAACAGCGATCGATCATAAAGTCCTGGAACACTAACAGTGCTTTAAAAAATTAAAAATCGCATGCACTTTTAATTCATTAATTCATCATAATGTAAGTTGTTAAATAAAGTGAGAGATTACTGTGAATTTTTGTTATGTTTATGCTTGAAATACCCCACGTCTCCCCACTTCTACAATCTTGTATATTTCTAGAGCTTTTGGATTAAAGGTAGACTTCGGGTGAAGTTTAATAATCTCAAAAAATCGCATAAAATCGTAATTCGCTCGATGCAATTCATATTCTTACGACACTTTATTTACTTCAATTTCAGAATTATATCTGTATGGATATCTTAGTAGCGAAAGTCAAAAAGTATACTATAAAAATACTGTGACCCTAGAACACATGTCTCAGGTGGGTTCACTTAACACTAGGTGGGCCGTCATCCACTCATCTAAGCAACAACAAAAAAGTCACGTAGATGATTCGAAAATCACGTCTTTGCCTGATTGATAAAAATTCGAAGCTTAAAAACGTAGTGTTGAAGAACGGTAACCACCCGTGACGATTCTCGAATAATAGTGAAGAAAAACATGTTCCACTCGAACAGAAGCAAATCGATTTCGACTTAATAGATTGATATAAAAAAATATGAATCGATTTTTTTTAAGTAAACGAGATAAAAAAAAAATAATGCGAAATGAGTTTGATGAATAAAAGAACGGGCGTGATCAATTTTAAGTCAATTAAGTAATGTCGAAAATTTAAGAAAATTAATAAGAATGTTAAGCTTCAAATTATCTAAGTTTGCTTTTGAAAACTTTAAAAGCAAACCCAAAAAATAGCATTTTCAAATAGATAGCTGCTGTGAATAAATAAAAATTCACTCAAAATAAGCGACAATAAAAAAAAATCCCAAAAACACCTTTATAATAGTTGATGAATAGATAATAAAAAATAATGAATGTATAATTCATTAAATAAACGGTACAGATCATCATAATTAAGTCTCAGAAGAGAAGTAATTCTGGTGCCATCCACGGGGATTGACAACTATGAAGTACTCTACGAAATACTGATTTTGTACCTAAAGATCCAATTATTGTTCTCATACCGAAAATAACGATAATGCATTTCAAAAATAAATTGGAAATAAAACCGTTAATATAATATAACGTAAATTTTCACAAAATAATACGCACAACTTAAATTAAAAAAAATAACGCTTCGCCATGACAGTGTAAATTCACTGCCGTGACCAGGATTCGAACCTGGGTTACTACGGCCACAACGTAGGGTCCTAACCACTAGACGATCACGGCTATCGAAGCAAGTGTGAAATTAGCTGAAAATTACGTACAAAATGTAATTACTGCGTTCCAAGTCAAGTTAGCGTTTCATTGAAAAATTTAACAATAGAAGCAATTTAGAGTTGGAATCGTTTTATAGACTTTTTTGTTTTTCATCTTTTTTTAAATAAATGTTTTTGTTGATATCTTGATAGTGATTAAATAAAACACTAATAAATTATGGTTGCTTATTTAGAAGTTAATGATTATGAGTAAGTTTATGAATGTATGTAAAAATGATGTAGTTTTAAACTCAAAAGCATATTTATGAAACACAAAATTAATTGAATAAAATACATACTTTTATATGTACGTATTTAGGAAAACGTTTATATGTATTTGGGGAATGTTATGAATTATTTATTTTATGTCGAACACAAACAAGTTCAAGTTTAAGCTTATGCGCTATTCATAAAACTAAAAATAAATAGGAATTGTAATTAATCAGGTTTTCTGTAGCAGCAGATTAAAATTTCACGGCTTTGGCAGTAACACGTTTCACAGTGAAAGTATTGAGGACCACACTCAACCGAATTAATCCGATGTCTATTCTACGATATTCGTTAAAACTAGTTCGTGCGGACTCGCAAGAGGTCCTACCACCAGTAATTACGCAAATAATAATTTTGTGGGTTTGATTTTTATTACACGATGTTATTCCTTCACCATGGAAGTCAATCGTGAACATTTGTGAAGTACGTATTTCATTAGAAAAATTGGTACCCGCCTGCGGAATTTGAGCATCGTTGCATCGCTTGATACGAATGCACCTGACGTCTTATCCTTTAGTCCACGACGACTTCAAACTAACAAACACAAACATTGCAAAATGTGGAAATATATTTTTATCAAATTAAAATTTACAATCTGATTCTTCTGATTGTTTCTCTTTCATTTATTTTTTTGTAAGCCTTTATTGCTGATACTAAGCTATGATATTTACACATAGTAGCAAATTGTTTTAACTTAAATCTAATACATCGGATTTCCCGGTTTAGTGGTCAGCGTGTCCTGTGACACATAGGCCTCTTCCAGCTGCTTCCATTCTTCTCTGCTGCTAGCTTTTCTGGACCAGATTGTCCCTCCAATTATCTTTATATCATCTGTCCATCTTCTAGCTTGCCTGCCTCTTTTTCTTTTGCCATCACGTTTCAAACGAAATGATCAAAATCTCAATTAGAGTACCAGAAAAGCTAAGAAAACTCACGGAAATATACAATTCTCTTTCATTACTGAAGTGTAATAATTCGGAGCCTGATTTATAATAGATGGTTATTGTTTCCGTAAAAACAATTGGTCGTTGGTCGTCATTGATTAAATCAATCGTTTGGAATACAGTGGCAGCCTGCCGGTATTGGGTGGTGGGGGAACTCCTCCACCGGCCGCGTCACCAAGCAATGTGAAGATCAAAGCGGAACCAGTATCGCCGCCACGCGCACCGGATCACTTGCATCGCGGCCCTCCTCCTGCCAGCGTACCACAGCCCGCACATCAAATGCCAGGAGTCATTGATGGTGAGAGTACTTTTTTTGTATTTTCAGGGACTGACAAGAGAACTTGTCTTTATAGGAGGAGGATATCCATATGAGGCCCAAGATGAATTTTTATCGATTGACAATAATACAGTTTTGTTTTATCATAAACTTCTTTCAACAGACCGGCGGCTACTATCGGAGCAATACATTTTATGAGGGATTAGAAATACAAAAAGACGATAATATCTTTTTGAATTCGTTTTGAATATTTCTAAATTTTGAATAAATATACTAAATATTTCTAAAATATAGTAGGTTTATAAGAAGCGGCAATTGAGACGGTAAAACTCCTCAAAATGTACGTTTTGAAATTGTGCTTCAAACAGCAGTGGTACTGAGCTGTGTCAAGTATCAAAATAAGTTGAAGTTAGTGCTTAGTAATGCAGACTTTGTTGTAGTGATAGTCATATTTTATTTACCTTTTAAAAATATGTACTTAATAAATTTTCTGTTTATTTTTTCGATTTTCAAGATATATGAAGATTAATAATGTCTTGAAAATCAATTCCTCATATTCGTGAAACAACATTCCTCAGTCATGGGTAATTGAAAACGCCTAGAAAGACCGCCTAAATAATCTATTAATATGTTTCAAATTATTAGTCCAACTTCTCTTACAACGGATTGTTTACTTGCAGGCTCAGTTTCGTCTAGTAACATGGGCTCGCCGGCAGGCCAAGACATGAGGCACTCCAACGCCGTTGCGCTTGACTACGAGCAGCCCCATACCAAACGGCCGCGGATCGAGGGTTGGGCCACATAGCTAGGCTATGAGGCCTTCGGTCCCTACCCGAGGCCCCTCCACCCACACTGCTAAGCGAGACCGCACGAGACCGCACGAGTCCGCACGCGGCCGCACGAGGCCAACGGCGCCGCACACCGGCCCGCGAACATAACTCTTACACTAAACGGTGCTGGATCGAACACAGCGTACTCATACAGAAAGGTGCATCTAAACTGAAGGTGCTTTTGATGGCACGGTGAGAAATCAAACATGGACCTCTTACGAGACTTTTCATTGGCTCATCCAAAAATGGGCGTGACCCATCATAGATCTTTGAGATCGAATGTTAAATGTTCAATTTTACACTATTTAATAATACGTAATTAATGTTAAATTGCACGCGCGATTACACTCGTATAAATAAATGTTAAAAATTATAAGTACAATAATGCTAGTTGCAACCCTTCAGAACAATTTTGAACTGTTTAATATATTATGTATTAGATATTTCTCCTGTAATTCCCTTGTACATAGTTGTCATTAAATGTGCAATCCGTGCCATTGTTTGTTTAGCTTAAAGTTAGTCAATTTAATTATAGTAACTGTTTATACAATAAATTGCACTAGAATACGGTTCGGAGTTAGTAACGCATCAGCCGGCGGAGTTGTGTGTTGTGTCACGTGACGGACTGTAACATTCTATCAGTGCGTTGAAGACTTATACAAGGAACTGTTGACTTTGTGTTAGTGTTTTAAAAAAAAAAAAGTTTTTTGTGCCATTTTAAAGATATAAATATAGTGTGACATCCGAACTTGAATCTTTTGTAAATGTAGCGTAGTATCATCACAGATAATGTATTGTATAATAAATCTACTATAATAATATCTATTGACATATTTATACACATGAGAATCATAATGATATTTACATAATATGTATACACGTCCTATTAGGAACGAATGTTATGTAAGTGTAAGTAATTTTAGCTAGAGATGAGAATGTAATGGTACCACACGAAGCTTTAAGATTTCTTATGATAACACTTGCACTTTAAGCAGATTTTTAAGTAAACAGTTATGATGTATGAATTTAGAGGCCCTTGACAAAGTATATTCATCACTTCGTGGATGCTGTCACCAGCTGTCTAGTACTGTGGGAAAGTAACGGATCTAATTCATACTTGTGAAGTCGTAAATCAGTAGTTGCACAACCCTAAAATTTCGAGCTTATTATTGGCCGAAGTTATAGTTGATCTCCGAAGTCTTTATCGTATCTGCCCAATTGCAAAGTCAATTTATGATACCTATCGTAAAACTCGTAACGTACTTCTTAAGTAAATTAAGGTTTAGTGTCCACGATGTATAGGAACAAATTTATTGTTTAGAAAATTTTATTTTGTTAATGTGATCTGAAGATTTGTATATTTTCAGTTTCTACTTAATCTGTAGTTGTAAATCACAGCTTTAAACGCACATACAAATTAAAATTATATAACAATGAATATAGAATATTTTGATACGGCACTATATGAAACACGTCCTGCTATATATTTTTGGAAGATGTTATCAAAAATAACAGCTTAGCTGAAGAAAATTTACACAAACCCAATACTTATAAATGTCATTCTTCTAGATTCATCTTCATCGTTCTAGATTCATCTTTGTCGTTTTGTACTTAGAACTAATGTTGCGAACTTGTTCTCCTGCCTTGGATGAGAATAGTCCAAATGAGGGATTTATCAAACTCATTTATCTTAACTACTGTCAATAAATTTCAATAAAATATAATTTAAATACTTTCAATAATACCAAATTATTATAGACCCTAAAACGATAGAGCGAAATTCTAAGAATTAATTATATTCTCTAAAAAAACACTTTTTTTTTTTAAATCCAAAAACGTACAGGAAACTTGAGTATCCGTTTCAAAATGGACTTCTAACTTCATAACTATGCTACACTACGTAGATCAAATAATAAAAAGTCTGTCGAAATATATGCCATATGTTTGTTTATTGGATGCACTGTTTTACTCTGTGTCACATAAATGCATAATATCCCTGTTGCAACATTTTCGCCAAACGAATGACGTTTTCCATCTTGACAAGCAACACAAGTTGGCCTTGTGGTTCCATGGAGCGGAAACATAAGAACTAAAGCATAGCCATGTAACCATAATATTATTATGCTGATTCGATATAAAACATTATAACTAACTATATGAATCTTTGTTCCGGAGCCGTATTGTCCAAATTTAAGTCGATCCTAAAACGATTCTGGATTTATAAAAATTTTATTCCGTTCACAATCCCTTTATCTTGAATTTCCCAGAAGTCGCTAAGAGTTGAAATCTTGGATTCTGATACATAAGTTTTATTTTTATTTACCAAAATCCTGTTATAATTCTAGAATTGTACAGGTAAATGAAAATGGGATTTAATTTGTTGCATTCTAAACAGAAATAAAGCCCATTCACACTATTCAATGTAAAAGTCAAAAACTATTCGCTGAAAAAACACGATCATAGATTTATAAAAATTTAATTCCGATCACAATCACAATCCCTTTATCTTGAATTTCCCAGAAGTCGATAAGAGTTGAAACCGTGGATTCTGTTACATAAGTTTTATTTTTGTTTTTCAAAATCAGTTATTTTCCAAAATCCCTTATAATTCTTGAATTATACAGGTATAAATAAAAATGGAATTTAATTTGCTGCGTTCTAAACAGAAATAAACCGCATTCACACTATAGGTATTCAATGTGAAAGTCATAAACTATTCGGTGAAAAAATAACGCATTGGCTGCAATTGAACTAACTATCCGATAAGAATTATAAAATAATTTTTACCGCATTATTAAGTTTAACGTGTTGTCAGCTTCAGTTAAAGTTAGACAATACGACCGCTTTAGTCATTGAATATCATAACGTAACTATTCTGTCCCCTCATATCATCTCACTGTAGATGCCTTACTCACAGTGCCTAAATATACCATATTATACCAAATTTGTACGATAACATTTTGATTTAATATTTTTTCACATCCTGATAAATATAAGTATTTTGAAGATGTTAAACTTACGACCGTACAACGTAGATTGTAGGTAAATATTTATCATATTCACATGTAAGTAGCCATTTTATATGTCTCGGAAAAGAAAAGCTGCGGTCGTATGTAATTATACCACATTTCGGAGCAGTGAAACTGTCTTGTGTGGTTGATTGTAAAAAATAATTGTTAAGTAAATCAATATATATTATAGACGTAATGTTAGGTACTTCAAATCACACTAACAAAATTGTGGATCATAAATTGTGTGTTGGTTAAATTTGTACAGGGAAATTAACCAGTTTCAATGTTCAAAAGTCTGAACGCGTTAGATGATGAAATATCAAATGTATTTTCGCATTGTATAAGTACACGATTAGTTTGTAAAATGAATTAATATTTTACTACCCGAGCATAATAATAACGTTAACCTGTTTTTAGGGAACTGTAAAACTTAAAATACAATTTAATGTTTAGGATTATTATTGTTGATGTGATATGTATAACTTCACTGTTGTAAACGTTAGGCCCGTCGCTTACGTCATAAAATATATTAACATAAGCATTATTTAACAGCAGACTCGTTTTATGAACGTTGATGTTGTATATTTCTTAATGTTATGTAGATGAATGTGTTATATAGTGTATACTGTACACAGTATAGTGTAAGCAAACGGTCAATGATGTTTTTGAAGACGTAATTACGCGTAGCTTCGTCCACGTTCAGAATAGGGATGTATTCTATGATTCTGTGGACATAGGGCAGATAGTAATGAAAAAATTGCAAATGCTCAGCATGCGTAATTTAGATTTGAATAAAATCACGTATTTCGAAGTTTAAAAACGATTTACTGAATTAAAAGAGCATTGTCAAAATTAATTTATTGATTTTGTATTATCATTATTTGCTTAATGATCACAAATTTGATCGTATATATTTTAGACGCAACATCAAATACCTACCATTTAAAAGAAACCTTTTATGAAAGCAACATCGAAATTAGTTTTAGCATGACATAGCAATTAATATCTTAAAGATGGGTATAAAGATGAATGTGTGGGAAATTCTCACTGTCTCTTTGCTCGGACTGTTTTTCTCTATCTTTTCTATTTTTGAAATTTTCTCTATACCACCGGGCTAAAAAGGTTTCTTTCTAACTTAGATATTATAAACAGTTAAAAAATCTTTATTATAAGCTATGGAAAAGAAAAAGATAATTCGTATTGACATCCCAATTGTCATTATTACTGTTTCTGACATTGTTAATTGGATAACACGAGGACCTGTTTTCAGATGTTTTAAATTCGCGTTAGTCGTTTGGTGGTTTGTTCCTAATAACACTTCATTGTGGTTATGTTATGTGCTTGTAATGAATTTGCTCAATCGTGTTTGGTTGGCGATGAAGCGATCACCTTGTTTCTTGTTGTCTAAATTATATCAGTTGTAGGTATATAATATAATTATGAAGAGAAATGAAAAAGGAAATATTACTTTCAATGATGTAGAGATAAATTGAATTCTTAAGATATAAAAGTTTTATTGAAAGTCCTTAATCTAATTAAATCTAATTGGTGTGAATAGGAACAATAAAATAATTTGATAAAACCATTTGCATGAGTTGCATAACGTATTTTCAAATTGTTTATGTTTGTTCAGTATTTACCAGAATTAAGTCAGATTGCACTATTGATTATAATAATTAAGATTGATTATTTTGCACAAATTAGTAATTGGATTATTCATGTACTCTAAAATAAATTCAAAACTATACATTTGCAAAAAAATATATATACGAAAATGCAATATTAAATTTTGCACAGCGGAATAATATTATGTAATGTTGTAATGAAAATAAATATTTTGTATAAAATAAACAGTTAAGCTGGTATTGGGAGCATTATTTCCGAGGTTGTGAACTTTGCTATCGGGAATGATTTCATTTGTAATTAATTAAATTTCTATTATATTATATTAATTAATCGTTTATTGACGCACAACGGTGTTGTGTGTTTGTGTAAAAAGAGTTTGCTTTGTTTGTTTTTAGGTATATACATAATATTAAATAATTCGACCTGTACGTATCCAGCTGTGTGACAATAGCAAAGCTGTAATTTTGTAATCTAGTTCGTTGCATTTAATGAAAATGTAGTCGTAAGTATGAGAGTATCATTGTAACAATAACTTAAATCACATTAGAATTTTTACGTTGTTTTGTATGTACCCCTCTCCGCGTTTGCTATTGCACCAGTCGATTACACCCTAATAGTATAGGAATATGATACATATCCTTTTGAATACTCAAATTAAAATCAAATTCGNAATTTTGTAATCTAGTTCGTTGCATTTAATGAAAATGTAGTCGTAAGTATGAGAGTATCATTGTAACAATAACTTAAATCACATTAGAATTTTTACGTTGTTTTGTATGTACCCCTCTCCGCGTTTGCTATTGCACCAGTCGATTACACCCTAATAGTATAGGAATATGATACATATCCTTTTGAATACTCAAATTAAAATCAAATTCGTTTCTGTCTTAACACTTGTGCAATACATATGTAACAAATCGGTTAGGTAGATACTTAGGAATACGAACGTTTGAGTTGACAATGAAAATGAGAAATCTGTTGTATTTTATTCGATATTTTTACTATCATCGGGTGACCGATGTTTTAAGTCATAATATTATTTTTAAGTTAAGGCCGGGCCAAATACTGCATCTATTTAGGTCTAATGGCGTCTGTATTTGTGTTGAAACAATTGTCTGTCGTGTGTATAAAATAAAAGATTGTTTGATGAATGCAGAACATCTCAGTGGCTGAATGGAATATTAATGTTAATCGACAGTGTTAGAAAAATTGTTATAAATTATTTTCATGACTGTTCGAAGAATAATAAAGAGTTGGATGTCATTTTTGTATTTTATTTAAACCTTTACACAACATAAGAGAATATTAACATAAATATTTAGAACGGATAAGTAGAGTAAAAATCTTCGTGGCCTAAAGAATAAGATGTACAGTGTATAAAGCGATGCGATTATACCGGTTTTCGGTTTACTTTTTTAAACATATACTACGTACTATACAGAAGGTATCAATTTAAAAAAAAACTTTCTTAGCTGTAAGTGCATTCTTGTAATGCGCTACAGTGTCCTGGAAAATCACTCACAAAATACAAACATATCGTATTACGATTACTGATATGATGATAATCATCCATAAACATCATTTGTTGTTTTCATTTCAATTGTATCCATTATCTATTATCTCCAATTAAAGTTAAAACGATAATCCTCTTAAGTAAACCGGCTCAACTACACGATTATCACCACAAGTCACCAGGGAATTGTGTCACATTTTTAATTTTTTATTTATTGCTTATATGGGTGGACGAGCTCACAGCCCCCCTGGTGTTAAGTGGTTACTGCAGCCCATAGACATCTACAACGTAAATGCGCCACCCACCTTGAGATATAAGTTCAAAGGTCTCAAGTACAGTGTTACAACGGCTGCCCCACCCTTCAAACCGAAACGCATTTCTGCTTCACCGCAGAAATAGTCAGGGTGGTGGTATCTACCCGCGCGGACTCACAAGAGGTCCTACCACTAGTGAAATATATAAAAAATACTTATAATATCCGCCTGTTTCTAAAGTTAATATATATAAAACATAACATAACATAACATAAAAACATAATTAAATAATTAATTTTATATTTGAAACAACATTTCCCGATGGCAAGACGTGTTGAGGATGCACCAATGGCCAGTCCTATTTTCTAAATTGACAAGGGTTGTAGCTTGTATTAACCAATAAAATACTGCTTTTATATTAAAAAATCGGAATAAGCCTCTGCAATTTATTTAACAGCATCCCCAAAAGCATTATTCGACGCAGTACTTTGCCGAGTTTCAAGAACAACATCCTGACAATTATTTAAAGCAGCACCACGTCTCCTCAGATCTCTTTCGAATATTTCCTTCACTTCTTTCTCCAAATCGACTGAACTAGATCTTCTAGAATCCCATTCAGAGGTAAATTGCTTATGAATTTCTATACTTTCTTCTGTTACATTTATAATTTGTCCGTCTAAGGATTCATTAGAACCAGGGCTAGTAGATCTTGAACAAAAATGGAGAACACTTTCTGTCTCTGTTTTAAAATCTTTGCTCTCAGTTGGTGGCATATTTATTGAATCTTCTTTGGTACTAGAATTTACAAGCGTGTTTTTCTTCTTTCTGAATCTACATAGCTTAGAGAATCCGCCAATCCATTCGGATATAAGTGCCGTTGCTGCTATGAGGAAGCCTGCTGCTAATAGTAAGAACATGCCTTGAGTGTCTTCTAAGGTCAATCCTTTCTCTTCAGCTGCAGATACTTTCAAAGAACCTCCAACTGCCTGTTTTTGAACAACGATTTCTTTTATAATAAAATGCAATATTTTATTTTACTACCGGTCAAATTTAAAGAACATTTTATCTCAAATGTCACAATTATATCTGTGAGCTACCAATATATATACCTATTCAAGAAGAAAATAGGTGAATCACTCACTGAAAGTAATTTCCCAGTACTGCTTCTTTGCATTTCCCAACGGACTTCGTCTACTATTTTATCTACTATGCCACTTTGTACCATCCTTCTTAGGTCATTATTCAGTTTGGCTGTATACAAGGAATTATTTGGAAATCCAATAGTAACTCCAAATGGTACAAAGCATTCATTAGAAATGTGAAGGACGGCTCTTTTTGATCTAGAATTATTACAAAAAAATATTATTTGTTTCACTTTAGATACTAGGATTGTTCAGTCTTATACTATATTTAAACTTTTTATTTCACTTTGTCTATTAAAGTAGAGTGCAAAAGATGCTCATCTTTTCAATGCAGAATGTTTGCTATGTTTCAATCAATTCCCAGGTAAAGTTGATAATTTTAACAAATTGAAAATCATCATTTATTTTCGTTGCCGATCATCAGAATTTGTAAAATCACTGGTCTGAAGCTTAGGCATACCATAGTTCTTATAGAAACAAAGCCAAAACAAGTATTCTACCACATACAGTGAATAGTTGAGTATCACATATGAACAGGATCTGAATACATACGTTGTTTTCGTAAAATTAGATTGCACAATATATTCAAGTTCAGCTTTTGATCCCAAAAAGGCGTACGGCCAAAAGAATGCTTTGGTCGTGTTCATGATTCCAGCCTCGACATTGGGTACTAACTCCAATTTCTTTAGGAGCTTATTTGTATTAGGATCTGATGAGTTGAGGAACCATCTTTCCCAGCCACCCCGATCTAAAAGACAATAAATAAAATATATTCTACATACTTACTCGTACTCTAGTCCATTATAACGTAATTAATACCTTCTTAACAATATTTTTTTGTATTACCTATAATTAGCGCTCCTTCTAGTAAAATTTATAGCTCTTTTATTTCGTTATAATAAAATAGTATTATATTTATATACACATGTTAACGTGGAAATTTAACACTTATCGTCAAAATGTCAACTTATAAATGGAACTACGTTTCTTCACATACCTAAAGTTCCAACTCTGTAAAAACCAGCTAGTAATTGGTGAATACTATCAACAGTTTCCGGGAACATTGGTAACGTCACAAATGCTATAATGGAGCCAGTGTAACAACTTGTAATAATTATTGTAAAAATCCAGTACCATCCTAAAATAATAAAATGGAAAAATTTTACCAATTTCTTCCAGTGAATTCATAGAGTTATTTGTACTTCTACGCATCTTTGCTCGCCCAATGTATGTATGTATGTATAGTTAGATATGTATTGTAAATCATGCTATTCTTCCATGAGTCAGTAAAATCATCACATTATTTACATATCTGCAGCTTATGTTTGTAGGTCCTACAATTTTTACGAATTCACTTCGACTGGGTCAGTGAACCTTCAATATTTTAAAATTGGGGTTCAGCCACACGTTTGAATACCCCCATTCAGAGGAAGGGTGAATCACATCAGTGTTGCTTACTACTAAGCAAGTATTTAAAAATATTGGTCTGTGAGCTTAGCACTCCATTTCTTATATTGTTACGTCGATAAGAGTAACGCCGTCTATTGCCGAATAGCCGAACGAATATCGGAGGTACTAGTAAAATCGAGAAGTACAACGCCATTCGGATTGCAGAAACACACATTGAAGCTACTCGACTAGCCCAGAATATACTCGAAAAATCTAGGGATCTCGTGTCGACTATAAAAGCGTTGCAGAGATGGCACGCAGTCAGTCAGTAATCGGAACTACTCGAAGCGAAACAGCGAACGGATCACCTGAAGCGAAGCGTAAGAAGTGAATTGAGAATTTTAGGTTGTTCGTTAAGTGTTCTAAGTGTTGAATACAGTTTTAATTTATACTTCGGTAGAATTTTTATTTATCCCAAACCCCAGCGCGCACAATATTATAATAATTTAATTATAATTTTACTTTTAATTATATAGGTAAAGAAAATTAAAATTATAGATATAACTAGAACAAACAAAACATTTCTTACCAATGAGTAATCTAGTAGTGATCTTGTCGGTCTTACTCCATGAATTTCTGCCGAGGAACGTAAAGCAATTTGTAAAGGTACCAAAGACATACCAAAACATGTTTTCTATTTCGCCACTATTATTAATCAGATGTCTCAGGGTATGCTTATCAGAAAAAGCCAAAGGAAACATACCAAACAGGTATGTTAATGTTAAAGCAACCCAGACATGCCAATGGAAAGGACCAAGAATCGCCCGATACCTAAAATTATATTTGGTTTGTAAATACAAACGAAATGAAGCTATTGAAAATTGAATAAAAACTATTAAGAGATACCGTGGCAAAGCTGTGGACATAAGTGTAATAAAAACAGCACAATCTTGAGAATGCGCAAATGTGACATCCATTTCTCTGGTTCTATCTATAGTGAGATACATTCCAGCTACGCCAATGTCTGCCCGACCTTTGGCTATTTCTTTGGCAACAGCATCACCTGACCTGTTCAAAGAAAAGATGCTACGTAAAACGCTTTACATTCAACATCAGCGTTATAAAATTTAAAGTAACTCACCCTAAATGAAGTTCTTGAGGCTCTACAATTTCTATAGAAAAATTGTTTTTCTCGGCTAGTAAATGTAACAACCTTATTTCAATTCCATCCCAAACCACTCTTGGATTTCCACCATCGAGATCAGATTTTATTCTATAAAAATCATTTTTATAAAAAATTCTTTGAGTTTACTAATTTTGTAAAGTATGATTTAGTATAATTATAAATTATCGATGCTCATCTTACCTTCTAAAAACGAAAGGTGGTTGATTGGCTGCAGCTACGACGAATCTATGTCCCGCATACCCCCCTGTCATTTTTGGTGGAAACAAATTTACATTCCTCGAAAACTTTCCATGAGACCAAGAATTGAGAACGACGGGCTTACTTGCACCCAATCCATCCGTGTATAATTTATGAGTGTATAATATATACGGTGATTCCTATACATATGTACAAATATGTATGATTAGTAAGGATAGTTTTAGTATGTACCATTTAGTTTATAATATGTAAGATATCAGGTAAAGTTACGATCAGTCAATTATGATCATCATAATAGTAATGCATTAGTCAGCTGAGTTCCAAAATGTTAACAAATTAAATTATTAATACTTCCAACCTTTACTACGATAATATATGCTGCGCTATTCTATTTACTTAAAGTTTCTTGTATTTAGATTTTATAATATCAAAAAACTCGTTTTTTTTTTCACAGAACTAAGAGGTCTAATTTATTGGGAACAAATAATTAAAGTTTCAGTACATATCACCTTCAAAATTTTTTTTTTTATTTTATTTCTTTAGCTTTCTTATATATATTTCTTTTTACATTTGAAGCTGTTCGAGCATTTATTTGTTCAATGATATTGCGATTGCTAACCATCACGCTTGATAATTTGTACTTTAACTTAAACCAAATAAATATTAATTATTTTATCAGACCGTTTCTGCGAAAAAGGGGTAATGAAGGGGGTCACTATGACTATTGCGTTAATGGGTGAAAAAACTCTTGCCCCACCTGACCTTAAGTGGTTTTGGTCTAAGTATATCGGCTGTCCCACCCTTTAAAACGGAAAGTATTGATAGAAATTTTGTAGATGTATATTTTTATTCAGAACTTTAGTAAATAAATTAACTTACTATAGTTGAATCATCGTCTTCTTTGAAACTCTGTCCGATGACTACTAAATTGATAAATCCTCTTGAAAATGAACTAGATAAGAATTCATGTACCGCCCACTGCGAAGATCTAGCGACTACAACAACTTTGCTCTCCGACTGTTTGCCTAAAACTTTTGCGCTGACTTTTACATCAGAGAGAAAAATTATGAAATGCAAACACTCCTGAACAGGCTGCAGTAGTTTCGGTTCTTGTAATTGACTGTGTTCATTGATGTACCCATGGACAAACGATACCGGAAAGTTTCTAAGTAAATTTTGAAACAAATAACTTTCCTTCAGTTTAATTTGACTATCGTAGAGTATAACCGGCGTACATCCATTGAGGTAGGTCAGAGTTATGTTCTGTATCAGTTTTATTAACGACGGAGTTTGATCAAAGACACTGCTCCTATTTAAGAAGCGCTCATACCATAACTCCTCTCTGGTCTTCGGGTGTCCGTGAAACACTGGATCGACGGCTCTTTTAGATTTAACATTTTTCATTCGATTACCAAAATGTATGTCACTTTCATAGTGATAAGCAAAATCATTATGTTCTTTTATAATTGGCGTAATTTTTTTGTTCCACAATAAATTCCGCGATGCGTTTTTAAGAAGAGATTCTGAATGATAAGAAATTATTTCTTGGCTTGAAATGATATAAAAAATGAACAGAAGACCGTACAAACTTCTCCTATCCATGACTTAGACGAGTGAACAGAATAAAAAGCGATGTTCTTATATAAGTTTATTTTTGACCGTGATCTTTGAAAATTTGCCGAGTTCGATCAGGTGCGGTGATTGAAATTTCATTTTTCATGACCAATATCTGGTTGATGGCGGTCACGGTCGAACGAAATGAACGAATCAAATATAAACGAATTTTGATAGAATTTTATAGCAGAATCCAATGTGAAAACAAAGTATCGATTTTTGTGATGAATAATTTCATCTATTAAGATTATATTGTGTGAAGAAAGCTATATACGTGTTATTTATTACTTTAGTCTAAAGGTATTTATTTATGTAATCACTGTTGATTAATGAAAACTAATTGATTTAATCTCCCGCATTGACAATAAAATATTGACTTTAATTGGTTAATAAAAATTGCGAAAACCGAAGAAGACGACAAATTATGAAGGTACGGTACATTCACTTATTATATTTTTGTTCAAAACTTACTTTAAAAGTCGTACGCTGAATGAGTACAGTAGATAGTGCATATGCTTTATTGTAAGTGCAAATTTATTTATGTATTTTATGCTTAGTTGGGTGGACGAGCTCACGGACCACCTGATAATAAGTGGTTACCAGAGTCCATAGACATCTACAACGTGAATGCCTTGAGATATGAGTTCCAAGGACTCCGTTTTTATAGTACAACGGCTGCATCACCCAGATCCATCCATCCATCAGGTTATAAGTACATAGGTGTTTCATTAGAAAAATGGTACCTGCCTGCGGGATTCGAACACCGTTGCATCGTCTAGTACGAACTTACCGGGCGTCTTATCCTTTAGGCCACGAGGGCTTCGAAAGATTGACTTTTGGAGCCTTCCCTGGATGATTCGTACTCTTGCGCATTTATATGCATAGAAAATAGTTCTAATAGGAGTAGAAAAAAAAACAATATTTATATAATTATAGCATTTATTTTTTAGCACTGTTCACATATTTCCTTATGATCCTCTTAAATAGGTATTATGCCAAAAACGAAGTATGATAAATATACGAAATATATTCAAAACAGTAATTTTGACGAGATTTATAAAAAATGTAAACTACCAATTTTAAATAATATTCTTTAAATATTTACATTAAATTTACTTATAAATACTAATAGATATTTTTAAATAATGTCAATGCAAGCGCTTCTTATAACTTTGATTGCAATAGCAAACCAAAACATTACTAATGCGAGAATTGAATTGAATTGAAAACATTATTCATAATTTGTGTCATTAGACATATTATGTGCTTAAAATTACGTCATTATTGTATAGCGTATGTTTAAAATTATTTTACATTATTATGGAATGTGATGTTTGATTATTGTTATCATTTTTGCATCTGTATACTGAAAAAGGGGGTAGATTTATATTTTTGTATTTTTAACTATATTAAAATTTTTATTCATTTGCTTAAAAACGTTGTTGTAAAATGAAACATTAACTAATTCAAAACTTTGTTTTCGTAACTACAACAAATCGATACATTCGTATAGACATGTGCAACATCATTTGTCTACGATGTAATCAGACGTCTACACAAAGTAACAGACGAGAAAATATCAGTGGTATACAAAATGAATTTTGATTCAATATTACTCAAAGTACGAAAACATTGAAGACTTAACTACAATTAACCTACTAGTAAACTATACATTAACTATATTTACATTCATAAAAGGCAGTGTCAACCACAAAGCTGGCAAGATTAAAAGAACACGATACTCATAAATGGCTAGTATAAGTCATCTTAAAGTTTCTAAGTAAAAAAAATAACCGGCGCTTAGCGAACTAGCACTAGATAACGAGAGTATTTTTTTGAGATAAAAAAAATTATGATTAAAGACAAATGGATATAAGTAAATTTGATTTTAGGAAGCATGGTTTACGTAAAATTGACACAATCTTCATTCGAGCTGATTGAAAACACAAAATATCACAGTTTCCAATACATTATACACGTCTTAAAAAGCACGCTGCACAAAAGTTCGGATCACAACATTCAATGGAATTGATTTACAACGAAAACATTTTTTGTTTTTATATTATTTTTTTTGTGACCATCGAAAACTAAATGGCACTGATCTCAGGTGATAATAAAATTTCTACTGTGAAATAATTTACAAAATGAAACGATCCTTGCCTCGTTGGCTATGACATCTAATTATAAATTCATAGGATCATCATCGTCTACAAGATGCTAAATATTTCTACCTGTGTTAATGTATGGATTACTCTCCGATGTCGTTGTCGATGCGTGAAGATCTGATGCCCGTTTTACCGGTCCAAGGGTACACTTCGGGACAGGGTTGACATGTTCTCATGTACCTTACTCCGGATTTGTGCCAAAGGTTGCACACTTTGGGGTTGTTGCACTTCTTCGGCCGATCCTACAGTGATATAATAGATATTATTGTAATTAGCGTATGCAAAATAATCTGATAAATCTATGTGTTCGACAATTTGTCTCATATAGGTTTCCGCATCGGTAATCTGATCTAAATATTCCGAAATAGGCAGCGGCTTGGCTCTGCCGCTGGCATTGCTGACGTCCATGAGCGACGGTAACCACTCACCATCAGGTGGGCCGTATGCTCGTCTGCCTATACGGCAATAAAACAAAAAAAAACAAAAAAAAAATGGCCCATTTTAATTAGTTGATTATTAAACATAAGGTATCTCGAAGTATAATTCTGTGTATGTGGAAAAAGCTACTGCTCTAAGCTGAAATTTATTAAGACTAACCTGAAAGTGTTTCTTATGTTAGAAAAGCGAACTTGAACAATACACAGAAACAATAAATTAAGAATGAAATACCTGATAGTTGCACTGGAAAGGCTGGAAATTGTTTATCCTAGAGATAGGAGTGGGATCCCTGACCCACTGTAGAGCTTGCCAGTTAGTGACTATCCACACATCCGGCATCTGGTTGATGTGATCCAAGAACATGATGAAGCCTTCCTTGTGGTGCGGCTGAGTGAACCAAGCCGCGTGATAGAATAAACCGAAAGGTGCCCTGGAATGTGATCATTAAAATTTTAAAGTGTCAGCAACATAAATCAGCACCGAAATACTAAACTACAGAAATATAATTAAATTATTGAAGTCAACCTTCTAATGCGATTTCCTTTTACTTTTTTTTTCTACTCTATCACCTGCGATCAGTCGCCAAGACTATAATTAGGTGAGCTGCGAGAGGTTATGGTTTTAAATGACTAAAATTTTATTATTACCTGTTGGTGCTATAGTGTCTATCGAAGTTCTTCAGAATCATTTTATAAACGTTTTCGGGTTCAGGTGGATTAGCGCAAGCATCACCCATGGAGCATCGGCCCCCGTTCAAGTCTTGCCACATCACCATGGGGACCTCCCAAACACCTGAAACACGACGATCATAAACAATTTAAATCCTTGGATTAAATTTCTTGCAGATTGACTTAGGCTTTTCAGGCATTATTGACTAACTAGTTAATGATCCAAAGTAATTGATTTACCTGGATAGGATTTCGTCGGACACGGTGGTATCATACAGTCGTGGAATAGTTTATAATCGAGAGTATAAGGCCAGCTGGGCGGTCTGTTTTCATACACTGGGAGAGAAGAGTCGTAAGTGAAGTTAGAATCGTACAGCATTTTGAACATTTTGTTTCCACCAACGGAAAGGAACGGCGCTCTCATTCCTCTAACATCCTCAAGTTTTACACCACCATAAGCTGCAAGAATTTCTCGTTGGCCAGCAACTTCTCTGTTCCATTTCTTTTGGGAAAATTGTTCACCAAAGCTGTGGCTGAAATTTAATATTATTTAATTTAATATTGAGATAAATATGTATATATACGTATAATTGGTCACCAATATGAACCCGTGCAATAAAAAAAAGTACTGTTTCCTTAGGAATTTGATAAAGAAGAAGTTTTGAAGAAAAGTAATCAAAGTTTGACAGATTAGATAAGAAGAGTATAATTTGTGTTTGTAAAAGTTTTCTTTACATTCGGTGCTGCTTTAATTTGTAACTGTGCCATATCTTTTTATGGTAACTTACGAAATCGTGTGTGAGGCCATCTCGTGTCCAGCAGAATAGAGGTTCTGAACTTGGCTGTAATCAGTCCATTCGTGGGAGACATAAAATGTTGCCGTAATCGGACAGCCGTTCGGGTTGACACGACCTTTCTCAAAGAGGTCAGTATACAGGCCTTTGTTCAAATCGTTGACGGAATCGTCAAAGGTCAGAAGAACAATTTGCGGGACCGACTCCACCGGTAAGTCTCCTGTTGTAGTGGTAATCGTGCATGTGGTGTGTAGAATGTGCCAGGAATAGGAAATATAGAAGAGGGAGAAGGCGGAAGAGAAAATAAAAATCCATTAGTGAAAGAAACCAAAAAACAAAACAAACAAAAAAAAACACGGAAAATTGTTAGTTATCCTTGAAGATTCAGTTCAGAATTCGAGTAGCTCATCTTATTTTGACTTACGAGACTGTATGTGACGCAAATTCGTGACCTTCTGCATAAAGATTTTGTACTTGACTGTAATCGGTCCACTCGTGTGACACATAAAACGTGGCTGTTATAGGACAGCCGTTTGGATTAACTCGCCCCCTTTGAAATAGTTCTTCATAGTACATTTTGTTAAGGTCATTTACTGCATCGTCGAATGTGATTAAAATCATTTGTGGAACTTCGCTGACAGGTAAATTTCCTATTTCATAAATAAATTTTAAAAATCCAATACATACATATTATGCATCGTTAGGTTTACGTCATTTCCAAAATATTGATATTTAATGCAATAGAGACATTATTTCATCGATTAATTGACTAAGTTATGTACTATGTTGTGACTATGTAAAAACCATGTAAGATCACCATGTAATCAAGGATGCCCAATGTTTGGCAGATTTATTTTCCATCTCCCCAACCAAGAATTTCAGTAATAAATATAAAGTTACAGATTGTATAAACGTAATTTAAATGTTTTAATACACTTAATTTCGTATGGAAATAAAATATCTAACCTGGGATTTCCTTTCCACCGCAGTAGCAGTCTGGCAACAAACAAACGTCTTTCCTGCATTTCGCCGCCGTCTTATCCGGTGTTGGTTGAGGATAAACAGACGCTGGTCTACTGGGCGGATGGTTGTAGATATCTACAAACTCTGTCGTTTTTGAGACAATAGCTGTGGAGGGTTTCAATGTCGGCCGGCTGCGTCTGCTCAAAAAGTGATAATTTAGTATAATCCCGAAACGATAAACTCATTTTAAACAATACCCTTTCATGTGCAACATACTAATAATGATAGTGTACAAAGCTATTTGAAAAGTGAAGCTGTAATAAAGCATGACGTGAACAAATATAATGAATATGCATCTATTAAAAATCTAGCAGGGTTTTGGTTCTAACGTTGGGGGTGTTCCTCGGTTGGGTGGCGGCAGAGGTGCATCTGATCCACTCGACGTAGAGAAATGCGCTGAACCGCGCCCACGTGTACTCGTAGGTCTGTAAACAAATTTAGCTTACATTATCTTCTTCTGAAAATATAAAGTTAGTATGCGTGATTTTTTAAAACAAAGCTAAAACATACTAACATTATTATTATCTCCTTATTTTTTTAGTTATAAATCTCTTACCAATATATGTGAATTAATAATATTTGTGATGTTGTCGTTTTTTTTTTAATTAGATGCTCGATTCTACTTTAGTAATTCATGCAAGTAGTATGCCTTAGGTTAGACGACTTACGTACAAAATAATTAATTATGTCTGTGCACTTTTAGTTACTTTAAGATGATTGCGATGAAGTGCGTATTTATAGAAGTGCACAACTACATTGAGGAACTTTCCACTTGGCTAAACTGTTTGCAAGATAATTTCTAAGTCTAAGTAACAAATTCACCATAGTACAGTGCAGGAAATGGTAAAGGTCTCGCGTCAGGAGTTAACAATTCAGAAAACTTGACTCAACCGACATGAAGTCCCCCAATGAGAACAGAATGTTAAGCGAAAGAGTTTAGCTGTAGGTGCTATTAAACGATTCTGCAAGATGTTCTATCCTCATGCTAGTTACCCGCGAGGCGGAAAAAATGTTTCAATAGACGAAGCCTCCACCATCATTAAAGTGAGAACGTCTGGCATAGACTACTGGCCGGCGAGTGATGTACCTCTGGTATTTGATTTCGTTGCATTTGGGATTCGGTTGCAGACTGTTGTCTGATGAACATTTCGATGTAGATTGGTAACTCCTGCGCCCACCTCCAAGATTTGTCGCGGCTAACTTAATGGCAGGATTGACTCGAGAGGCTCGCGTTGGGAAGGAAATGCTTTTAACAGTCGTTGTCGTTGTCGTAGTCTGTTCGGATTTAATTGTCGTAGTTGCTTTTGTAGTGCTTGTCGTAGAAGCAATATCACTAAATAACCCATTATCGTTTTTCTGTTGTTCGTCATTAACAACAGAACTGTTGTTATCAACAATTTGATCGTCATTTTTTTTCTCACTAGCTTCTTCTATAACAACGTCGACAGATTCAGTTGACGGTTCTAAATTCATTACATTTTTAAATTTTTGCGACTTTTCCGACGCTGGCACAAATCTTGCTGGAGCATCTGTACTGTTTACTAAGCTGTTGAATTTTAACGAGTAGTAATCTCTGCTTGGTACATACAATTGTTCATAGTTTTCTTTCTGGACTGGTGCTGCTGTTGACGTTGTATGTACCACAGAAGTTGTACTCACACTATCTACAGGGTTAATTAGCGCAAAATCTTGATTTACAGTTTCATCATTTTCAGAAGGTTTAATTTTATTTAAATTTGTTTTATCTGTATTAATTATGCTTGATTCAGTTACTATTTGTAACCTTTTAACATTATTACGTAAAGGCTTTTCGGTTGTGTATTTCACGCTTTTTCGCTGAAAACCTATGTTCACAATCCTTTCTTCAGTAGAAGAAGCTGGAGTCGTAGAGCTCTGATCTGGTATTTTTTCGACAAGTTGTGGTATGGGTGAACTATCTACATTGTTCAAAAACGCTTGAATGACATGTTTGACTTTTCCACTGAATACTTCTGTTGTATGGTTTGGGATAACTTCGTCTTCTAAACGATAACTGTAGTAAGACGGTGCAACACGTGAAAGTTGTGCAGCTTTTCTTGTTGAAAGTGAATTTGATTTATCTCTTAATTTTTGTGTTGTAGTAGATGAAGTAGTTTTAGCCGAAGAAGACTCTGGAATTTGTTCGTCCACTCGATAACTATTACGTAAATTGTCCAAAGTACGATATGGGGAAACAAATGGTTCAGTTTGTGCTTTATACTTATCCGATCTCGATTGATTTTTGAGTAAAATATTGTCTTGACTCCTAGCGTCGGCTTTTTCAGCTTGATTTCTTAGAATGCTTTCAGTGCTGACGGTATTCTCTTGAAATTGTTCAGTACTAACAGAACTTGGTCGTTTAATAACAGTTTTTAAGTAGTATTTTGTTGTTGTGGTTGTAGGGGTAGTTGTTTCAACAGAAATTAATTTTCTACTAGGTGGCATAATAGGAATCGGAATATCATATTCTTCAGTTATTTCTTTTGTGATATCAGTTCGACGATTAACTGGTTCTGCGGATGTACTGAAACTATTATTTTCTTCTTTACTGCGACTTATGTTGTCGTTGCTTATACTATCGCTGATTTCATAACGATATCGTTGCGAATGCTTACCAGTAGAAGAATTGTTAATACGTGAATGGTTTTTTCGTGGATTATTAAATTCATCTATTGGTCGCGTTAGAACCGTCAACGTATATGGGTTATTTGTATTGTTTAAATTTCGTCTAATAGAAAAACCAGTCGTTAATGACACTAGTTTTTTCTTGCCTTTATTAGAAGAGACTTGTTCCACGTCCACAGGGATATTATTGTTATTGTTAGTCACACGAGAAGAACGTCTAGAAGTCAACATTTTTTCAGTTGTCGGTAAGGTCTGTTCTAATCTATGTAAATTGTCAGTTATTTCAAAAGGCTTTGCAAGATAGGATAAATTAATATGAGACGGTGTTGTCGAAGGGGTAGGATCATTTTCAGGGGCAGTAGAAGAAGTATCAGATTTGGGAGTAGGGTTTTCATCTGTGGATGATCTGTTGAATACAAAGCAAAAACACTATCTAATTTAAGCTGTATAATATGTACTTATATAAGATAGATAGTTACCAATACAGTAATCAATCGAACTATTTTGGTAAAGTTAGTAAAGGAAATGTTAACAAACGTCAAGTAACACAAACAGATACCACAAAAGCCTACAGCATCTCTAAAGAAGACTGATAAAGAAACGAAATACTGGAAATGTTACGATTTATACGATAAGGACTTATCAAGATTTTGAACCAAAAAGAAGTATGCAATAATATGTTAATCATTTTGTTAGATGCTGGTTAGAAAGTTTTCCAGAAGAAATGACAATTGAATGATATTTTAATATGACGTTATGGTCGTTATGAATTAAGCCATGATGAACTTAAGTTGGGTATTATTTCTTTTGTAGTACCTTGGCGTGTATCGAGACGGGGTCATAGCTTCAGTATATGGTGCAGTGGTAGGGCGTTGTGTAGTCGTGGTAGTTGTAGTGCTTGTCGTAGTAGAAGGGGTTGTGCTAATAGAAGTAGTTTCATACAGTGTCGTCCTTATGCTGCTCGGGTTATGCTCATAGCCCAATTCATTACCTTCGCCCCTGGGTACGTAATTTAATTCGTTATGACTGCAGGTGTTCCATTTGCGTACAGTAATATATTTGTGCAAAATCAAGAATAAGTTAAAGCTTACCTCGTAGAATGACGAACGGGTGCTTGGTATTGATTTTGGTTGCTAATCTAGAAATTAAACTTAGTGTTAAAGTTGTACACTTTTGAGATTAAATAAAAGAAAATAATAATAAATATTTCTGAATTTAGGAACACATTTACTGGTGGTAGGACCTCTTGTGAGTCCGCACCGGTAGGTACCACCCCCCTGCCTATTTCTGCCGTGAAGCAGTCATGCGCTTCGGTTTGAAGGGTGGGGCAACCATTGTAACTATACTGAGACCTTAGAACTTATATCTCAAGGTGGGTGGTGCATTGACGTTATAGATGTCTATGAGTTCCTTACTGGAACAGCCCACCTGGTGTTAAGTGGGTAACCTTACCTTGAGTAACATAACACCATTTGGGCTGTGAGCTCGTCCACCCATCCAAGCAATAAAAAAAACAAACTTGTTTCATTGGAAAAAAAATGGTATTTCTTACCTGTCCTTGGATGAGTGCATCGTCGTAATCATCAGCGGACACTGGCCTTGCCGTGTACGTTTCGACGGGTCGTCTGGCTGGAGGTGGAGTACCTCTGTATGTCTGCTGTACTGCTGGGCGGACCGATGCAACGTTATATTGCTGCACATAATCTGCAAACACCCGAGCGTCAAGTGAACCTCTTTCGAATAACCAAATTCAAAGTGCCATTGTTTATGAACTATGTATATTCCCAACGCCCTAATACTAATATTTTTTACTGGTGGTAGGACCTCTTGTGAGTCCGCACGGGTAGGTACCACCACCCCGCCTATTTCTGCTGTGAAGCAGTAATGCGTTTCGGTTTGAAGGGTGGGGTAGCCGTTGTAACTATACTGAGACCTTAGAACTTATATCTCAAGGTGGGTGGTGTATTTACATTGTAGATGTCTATGGGCTCCAGTAACCACTTAACACCAGGTGGGCTGTGAGCTCGTCCACCCAACAAAGCAATAAAAAAAAAAATTTGTTTGTGTTTTAATTCTTTAATTTTACACAAATATAAAGGTATTGAAAGTTTTTTTTTTATGGTGCTGGAATGGTGGTGGAATGTAATATGTAATTTAATTTTTAAATCATTTACGAACGTATTCATTTGCATTCTTTTTTCTAATAGTACTTTACAAAAATATATTAAATTCAAGGCAGATTAGATTAGATAATTATTTACAGTTTAACATTCATAAATAAGTATTTTAAAATCATTCCCTCAACCAAAATAATAAGTATAATGATGCTGTTGAGTTGTGTATACCTGTATCCTTGTATAACTCGCCGTCTTCATCATAGACTGCATAGTATGGATCATATTGATCGGGATTATACGCTTGAGATCCATTGTACAACATTTTAGGTCGAGGGCTTGGTGAATAAGATACTGGAGATAGATTTTCTGTCGGTTCCAAGCTACAAATTTCACATATTTTTAAAATAGAGAAAAAATAGTAATCTTAGTATAAATGAAGAAAAAAAACTGTGCAATTTGCAATATACAAAGCGTTTGCAGTCACTATTGTCACGGTCAAGTCATTGTTAGTACATAATGTCAAACTGTTATAACGTGCATTTATGTAGTTTCGTTTTGTCTACAAAATACTATCTAGTTACGATGCTTTAGTTAAAACAATGCAAGAATCAGTTTAACAAAATGCTTTGCTCTTACACTACTTAATATTCTTTTGTTTTTAAATTACCTGTTTGTTTTACCGTCATGATTAATTTTAGTAAATCGAGTTTCTTGATTGTAACTGTCTCTTGGAGTAGTCAGTTTTTGAGCAACAATATTGGGATGTCTCATTCGAACTCTATTTTGTGTGTGATTCTGTTTTGAAGTCTCAGGTACAGTTGTCGGTTTAGCTAATCTATGCCTAACTGTATATGGTCTTAATGTCGTTTGATTCAAATATTTTGGAGGTGCACTAGTGTATGGACCAGATTCATTTGAAATTGGTTTCTTTAAATGAATGGTGCGATTACGGGTATGGTGATTAATGATTTCATAATTTGAAACATCTGGACGTATTAAAACCGATGACGTCGGATTTGCATATTCCACCAAAACGGGTATGGGTATTTTGTTATTTTCATTGTTACTAATGCTCTTGATAGGAGCAGATACATCGTTATGATTTTTGGTCGTAGTTTCTGGTTTGATTTTATAATATTTGGTTGGTCTTTGTGTTACTTTTTGTAATGGTTTGACAGTAGCAGTTTCTTCTCTGGAATCTTCATAACTGTCATCATACTCCTTGTAATTTTGTGCGAGAGGTGGTCTCTGCGGTTTGATTTCTGTACTTGGCATATATTTTGGTTTTACGACAGGTTCATAATAATATTGTTCGTCCTCATCATCATAATAATAGTCATTCATTTCCGGCGAGGGCTTAGGAATTGGTCTACGTTTCGTTGCTGGCTTTACCGTAGTAATGAACTGCTCTCTACCTAGGTTAGTGAATGTATTTTGATTGAACATTGGAGGTTTCGTGGAAGACTTTATGGTTTCCCCGAAGAAAGTCTCGAACTGCCCAATGTTAGGACTACTGCCCGGACGAATTGTCACGGATTGTACTGAAAGTGGATTTGCCGTTGGATTATTTTTCCAATACTGTTGCAGTGCTGAAAGTTGCTGATTAGTAATAGTCGTGAGTGGTTTTTGTGTCGATTTGACATGTGCCTCATAAGGCTTAACAGATGTTGCGAAATAAGGCCTAGTAGTAACCGAAAAACGATTTTGAGGTTCTGTAAAATGCTCTAGATTTATGTATTGCTGTTTGGAGTTGGACAAAATAAGAGGTCCACCTGTACCACTCGCAAATACATGTGGCTTTGGAGTAACAGCCACGATGCGCTGATTTTCTTCTTTTAATTTAGTTTGATCTATTGAGTTGGGTGTAGTGAAACTGTAAGTAATTGGAAGCTGACGGTCATCTTTAAAATTCGGCGGTTTCAATTTTGGTCGTATAGCATCAAGTGGAGTTCCAGCTGTTTGTTGAGCTTTGGTATAGACGTTTCCATTATAGTTATGTTGTTGTTGCTGCTGCTGTGGATATGACTGCAAACTAGGTTTTGGACTTTGGAATTGGTCATATAATTGAGATTGTTTGATAACTGGCTGAAATTCTGTATTTTTGTCTTTGTATTGCGTCGTGAATGAATTGTCAGGTGTAAATGGTTTCGGAGTACTCATGCCCTGGTAATTTAATGTCGAGCTTGGCAAAACAGACCTAACATTTGCTGGACTTGATGAACCTACAGCAGAGTTCACAATTTTCGGTATGACTTTCGGAGCAGGCGTGTACTGACCGTTACTTATTTTCGACAAAAATGCATCAAAATCAAAATTAGGATTAGCAAAAGGATTCTCAATTTCCGCGTATTTATTGCTTGGATGAGTGAATTCATATGGGGGTTCCGGAAAATCATGCTTGAAATCGTCATCATCGTATTCTTCTGATGACTCTTGGTTTTCTTCAGAGCTTCCTTCTTCATCATATTCTTCTTCTTGAGGCTGCTTGTGGGTGTGTTCCGATTCGTTTTTATTTTCGGATTGCTGACTCTGAGACTTATTCGATTTTGGCCTATATGTACTCTGTAATCGTTCTGAAGTAGAAACTGGGACCGGTTTACCAGTCACTACTGTACTGGGGAGAATAGATGAATCGTGATATAAGCCATCATTGATGTGATGTAAAGAAGTAATATAATGCGATTGGATTTGTTCGTGATTCGGTCGCGGAGAGTTGTTATAAAATCCTCCATTCAACGAAGTAAATGGATTATTATTGCTAGAAAGTGACGATATAGGCGGACTTTTGGTAATCAAGTTTGTCACAGTATTAATAGGATTATGGACATGCTTTTGGTGCGCTGGATCTGGTAAACTAGGTCTAAATGGCCTTTCGGTTTGACTTTCTTGATATGAAACCAGTGGATTTGCGGTGGAATGTCTATTACTATCATATGAAAAGTATAGTCGACCTGGATCATTATAATTATTATTGTAAGTAGGCTGATATCTCTGTGATTGTGAATTTTGATTATAGCTAGGTCTAGGTTGTTGATCTACAAGTCTGACAGGCTTAGCGATACCCCAATTTTTTAACGGAGGCTTGTAACCATTTTTTAAATAGTATCTGATTTGCCTTTTCCCTCTTTCAACATCGTCTTGAATAAAATGATCATCAAGAACACCAACATCTTCTGGATCAGCTTCGTAATATTCCATTTCTTCGCCACTATCACTTCGCTTAGAAATATTTTCTGGATTATCGAACGTATTATTTACAGTTTCAACAAAAGTTAAGTTTTTGCCTAAGCTATCAACTGCAACTTCTCTTTTTTTCCTTAGAAGAGGTTTCTGAATAGAGTCAGTAACATCAACTAAATTTGTATCAAGGTCTAATTGTCGGTCATGGAGAGTGTCAGTCACGTCGTCAATGTCTTCACTGAAACCATCATACTATTATTTAGTTTATCGTTCTCATTAAATCATCAGTCATTTAGCAAATAATTTTTATTTTATTAAAATATATAATACTAACTTGTATTTTTGAGGAGCAGGAGTTATAGTGGCAGCCCGTCTGTCATCGATTTGCGAGCCGAAAGAAAATGATCCAATTTTACCGGTTTGTGGTAAGGATGCTGGAATTATATTCGAGTTGACAGTTCTCCCGGAGCTAATAGCTTGAGATCCGTAGCCATCTCTATCCTTTTGGACTTGACCTATTGTCGAAGGTTGTCCTCGATAAACGCGCTGCTGTCTGTCACTTTCGATTTCTTCTACGGGAGGTAAATCATCTATTTCCGCATACAGCTGTTGTTGCTGACGAGAAAAAAAACGAAATTGTTTTGAGAGCATGAACTCGTTCCCAATATTACAACATTTACAGGTAGAGTGTCTTCTGAGCCGTTAGGTACCGCGAAGCAGTAATGCATTACGTTTAGAAGAGTTGAACAGATATATTATACAACTGAGACTTAAACCTCAGATCCTAAATGGGTGGTGGCATTCACTTAGTGAAATCTATGGGCTCCGGTAATCAGACAGTATTAGGTGAACCCGTAAGCTCGGACACACATATATGTAACACAAAAAAAGAGAATATAGCAGACAAAATTCTGAATATATAAAATATATTTATTTATTTATTTGCTAAGCTTAGTTTTCGATAATTTGTAAAACTTGCGTAATGATTGAAAAAAATCAATGTATAGGAAAAAACGAATTATAACAAAGCAATTTGTAAATAAGCCCTTAACAAGCGTTATTGTTAAAGACAGAACATAATAAAATATATTATTATGGCGTTTACCTTCATCATCTTGCATCAGAACTTCGATTGATAATATAATATTAAAACTAATTTAATTTACCTTTTCGTATTCCACGCGATTGAATTTTGGTTGTCCTCTGGATGTGATGATCGGCTTGGGCTGAGCTCGTGGGGGTGGCGGCGTGCGTCGTGGCGGTGGGGGCGGTGGCGGTGGGTCGTCTCGCTCACTGAACCGCTCCAACTCCTCGCCACCACCAGCGCTGGCACCATCACAGCCTACGTTGCGCGGCCAATCGCACGTTTGGAGCTCATGGCTGAAAAATGTAAATCGCACTTAAAATTATTCATCATCATCATCATTATCCTGCCTTTCTCCCAGTTACCTGGGGTCAGCGCAACATGTTTTCTCCTTGCATACTCTTCTATCATATACCATTTCATCGCTCACTCCCCTCTTACCTATATCGTCTTTCACGCAATCCATCCTTTTCTTCTTAGGTCTACCTCTTTCTCTATATCCTTCCACATTCATAGTTAGCATTTTCTTACCAACCTCATTTTCATTACGTCTCATCACATGTCCATACCATCCCAAACGCGCACTTCTCAGCTTTTCTGTCACAGGTGCCACTTTCAGACTTCCTATAACACTTAAAATTATTATTCTGCGATAATCTTGTGCCTGGTTAGCTAATCGCCATTCTCAATCGACAAAGGATTTAAGAATGACTTCTTTTTTGAATAGAATATGATTTGTAAAACTGTATTTCTGAATGTTTGTTAATTCGTATATTTAGAATTGAAATTTGCTTGAATCTTACCTGTACATAAGTCCACCAGTACATGATTCAAGTAGGGCGCCGCCAAACACGCAAACATAGTACAATGTGCAGTCGGTGGGATGAGGATAGTAGCCGAACTCCTCTGGACAGTCGAAGTCCACATCTCGTTTAACATTTGCCGCCACGGGAACACTCCTGACTGGGCCGGATCGATGCCGCAAACGGTCTGAGGCGGCAAGGCATTCTGTAGACAATAAAAATAATACTATTGGATTTTGAAGGATACTTTTTTTTTATTGCTTAGATGAGTGGACGAGCTCACAGCCCACCTGATGTTAAGTGGTTACTGGAACCCATAGACATCTGCCATCATACATACATCAACGTAAATGTGCCACCACCTTGAGATATAAGTTCTAAGGTATCAGTATAGTTACAACGGCTGCCCCACCCTTCAAACCGAAACGCATTACCGCTTCACGGCAGAAATAGGCAAGGCGGTGTTACCTACCCGTCCGGACTCACAAGGGGTCCTACCACCAGTAATTACGCAAATTATAATGTTTTATTTTTTATTACACGATGTTATTCCTTCACCGCGGAAGTCAATCGTGAACATTTGTCAAGTATGTATTTCATTAGAAAAATTGGTACCCGCCTGCGGGATTCGAACATCGGTGCACCGCTAGATACGAATGCACCGGACGTCTTATCCTTTAGGCCACGACGACTTCGAATTAAGACATTTCACGAAATTTTGCTATTGTTTCATATCTTTATTGTGCATCTTTATTTGTAACAATTGGCTTTAAGCTAGCAGTAGCTAGTATTGAAACAAAAGCATGTAGAATAGTTGCAGCACGCGACCTTGTATGAGCATTTGTTCGTGCGCATAATGTTGCATTCTCTCGAAATTCGCTCAAATTTATAAGATCACTATAAATTATAGGGCTGTAATTGATTTCGCAATACCAACAGCAAATTTTCAAAGTATGACACTACTTATAGTTATTAATTTAAAAATTAGCGAGTAATTTTTATTGAACACAAGATATTTATTTTATAGACGCCTGAAACGCGCTATAGCTAGTTTTTCAAAATATGTTAACTATATGTTTGCATATTAACAAGTCCGGAAAATAACATTCGGATCGTTGGTCTAAGCAGCAATTTCACCCGCTCTGTGGAGGATCTTCCCTTTATCAAATTCTATGAACTGATAAAATCCACGTGATTTAAAACCCAGAACAGTAGCGCGATCCAGGCATGTCTCAAAGATCTTTGTAACTTCCGCCATATATGTATATTAAAAATACAAGTCTACTCGAAATATCTAAATAAGTCTATTTCGAATATACGCATGTTTTGTTTTACGAAATAATAAATTCGAGGCGTGCAACGACTCACCTGCCGAAGCAACCAGCCCTGAAAATGGATGGCGCTGAAGCGTTTTATATATGTATATTAAAAATACAAGTCTACTCGAAATATCTAAATAAGTCTATTTCGAATATACGCATGTTTTGTTTTACGAAATAATAAATTCGAGTTACTTTTTTCAATTTCGTAATGATACGTGTCGACTACATTTAAAATTATAAAACGGACGAAATATTATTAACACAAAACATGCATGGAACATGAACTATATAAGGTAAGGTAACCATCAGATAAATAGTAAATGTAACACCGGTTCTACATATAATTTTACATATTATATTACGTGTATTTTGTCAGTAAATTGTTTGTAGATTTTGTAAGAAAACGGCTGTTTAGATGACCACATTGTTAACAACACTTTTTCCATTTGTTCATTACTTTATCTTTATGATGAAACAGTTTTAGTTTCTCGTAGTCCTAATTAATCTATATATTAATACGTATCAAGCAAAAACTTTGTATCCCTTTTTAGGAAAATTGCGCGGACGGAGGAATATGAAATTTTCCACTCTTATAGAGAATATAGAGAACTGCACAATGCTAATATATTTTTTAAATAATGCATAAAAGATAAAAGAAAACATAACTCACACTACCATGTATTTGACACACACACATACACTCTTTGTTTATTGTCAAACTTTTGTTATTGCTTAAAGTCTATAGTCAAATTGAGAATAGGTTAGTATTGTTTATCTTTAATATTACGAGTATTTGTCTATAGTGTAGTCTTTGCGAAATCTGTAACAATAGGACCATAATAATGTTGAAACTTATAAGTTCAATTAATTATAGTCGAATTTCGACTACTGCGGGACCATTAGTAAATTATAAAATCATTTCAAGCGAGAGCGAGCGAGAGCCTGAGATAAAGCCATCCATTACCACCCTTTTCTCGTTTTTAAGCTATTGCATAGCTTTTATCGCGGGCTTTGAGCGCGGCGACTGAATCAAGAAATTCCGTAACGAAAATAACCTGACACCCCCACTACGCCTACTATGTAGCTCGCGTTCAACATATTCACACGTTGCGCTGGTGTATATGCTTGTGAATAAGCGCGCGGCGTGACGTCGCACTGCATGAGCATCATGAAAAGTCTGCCCATCTGTCTCTCACGGAGTCTAGCTTATGAATGTGAAGGGGACAGTTAATGTTTTACTTTTGTTCATGTTTATAAATATAGCGTGGTCTTATTATTATTATTGTTTTATTATTAAATTATTATTGTTTAATTGTAATTGCATAAGTTGATAAAAAATTCTTTGCAATAGCTTTACCGCGGCAGTCCCCGAGTGCCACACGTGTTTTTTATTAACTTGACTGTTTAACTAAAAATTTTATAATTCAATAAAATGTAAAAAATTACAATTTTTTTTTAATATTTTGATAGAAATAAATACAGCGTGATTTTTACTAGTACTAAAAACTACAAAAACATGGACAAGGATTTTCGCAAGCACAATTTCGATTAATATTCACAAGAAGACAAGGTTGTTTAGATAAAAATCTCTTATGAGAATGGAACTATGAAGCTTATCTTGCTTGTGGAAAACAATTTTGTCACGTCTGTGCATTGAGATCACGAGACAGTGTGGGATTTGGGACAGCCGACGTCTCTTGCACACGTTTTAAGAAATTACATACGAAATTAATGTACATTATAATAATCTACATGACTTTCATGAAACTGAGCCTTCAACAATCGATCGTGGTACTTACAAATATACTGTTATATACCATCTATTCTATTTTGGCGATTAATTGCATTACATTCTATTTAAATTTACAATACCGTGTAAAATAATGTACTGTGTACAACACTGCATGATATCAAATATAATATATTACATTTATATATACATTTAAATTTGATTATATGCTATTCTTGTGGTAGGACCTGCTGTGAGTCCACGCGGGTAGGTACCACCACCCTGCCTATTTCTGCCGAGAAGCAGTAATACGTTTCGGTTTGAAGGGTGGGGCAGCCATTGTAACTATACTTGAGACCTTAGAACTTATATCTCAAGGTGGGTGGCGCATTTACGTTGTAGATGTCAATGGGCTTCAGTAACGACTTAACACCAGGTGGGCTGTGAGCTCGTCCACTCATTAACAAAACAACAACCCACTCTACAAAATTAGGTCGATCGTGTTGTGAACGCGATAAAGATAACAGGTGAATCAAAACTACGATTGAATTTGAAATCAAACTTCAATTGACTAGAGTGAATGTATACCTTAATAATACTAGCTATGTATTCATCATCGTGATTCTTTATATGTTTATTACATTGAGTTACGTTTTGGTGCTAGCGTTACAGAAAGTGAAATAGTCACGTTTGCAAAAATAAACTTTCGTTTTGAATTTTATTTTGTTAAATTTAAATGTGTTTAATGAAATTTTATTCCTGAGTAACACTCTCCGATGATTCAGTGAAGATAAGCAAGTTTTATGACAATTAAGAATGCAATTCTAATATTCTGTTTAGAAATATTATATTCTAAGGATTTTCAGTGGTTACCAAGATTATCTTTTATTACCTTTCAACTTGCCATCAATAGAGTTTCTCAACGAGTGGGCCTTAAAATGAATATGATTAAAACGAAAATCATGTTCAATGTCCATAATAATATTAAGCTCACCGCAGTTACTGTTGGGAACTCTACTCTTGAGGTTGTAGACGAATATATATACCTGGGACAAGTAGTCCGATTAGGTAAGTCCAACTTCGAGAGAGAGGTCAGTAGGCGGATCCAACTCGGCTGGGCAGCATTCGGTAAATTAAGAAATGTGTTCTCGTCCAAAATCCCTAAGTGCCTGAAGACAAAGGTGTACAACCAATGTGTGTTGCCAGTGATGACTTGCGGTTCCGAGACGTGGTGCTTCACAAAGGATCTTTGTAGGAAGCTTAGTGTCGCGCAGCGAGCTATGTAGAGGGCTATGCTTGGTATTTCTCTACGAGATCGAATCAGAAATGAGGAGATCCGTAGAAGAACCAAAGTTGCTGACATAGCCCATAGGATTAGCAAGCTGAAGTGGCAGTGGGCAGGCCACATAGCGCGAAGATCGGACGGCCGATGGGGCAGAAATATCCTCGAGTGGAGACCACGTACTGGCAAACGCAGTGTGGGACGGCCACCTACCAGATGGACCGATGACCTGGTGAAAATTGCTGGGTCACGTTGGATGCAGGTGGCAACGGACCGGCCGCACTGGATATCAGTTGGAGAGGCCTATGTTCAGCAGTGGACAGTAGACAGGCTGAGATGATGATGATGAACTTGCCATCGGAACACATTTCATCAGTTCTGCCTAAAGCCGTTGTATCTACAGTGCGTTACAAAATCCTTAAAGTTACCGCAACCAATTACTTATATTTCCACGAGCATTGAGTTATAAAACTTTTTTTATTCAGTTATTATTATTTAAAATTAAAAACAAATAAAGCTGATGCTGTGTAAATAACTAGGTGAGATATAATTAAGTGGTAATTTAAAGAAAGACATCATAACCAGCTTAATAATAGTCGCTGATGACGTCATAGTTCGCAAAATTTTATGCCAACACTAGGCAAACGTACCAAATCACTTTTGTCAATAGTACACAAACAAAATAATGTCACAATAGGACCTTGTATTGTAAACGTCGTATCTAACAATAGTAATACAACATAGACTTTAGTTTCCCACAGGTTGTTAATCCGTGTTAATAGTAATACACACATCGATCCGTCAATCAAAAATGATCACTATGGTGATGATTTTAAAGGTTACGAGACCTATGAAGCTGTTACGACATTTAG